TAGTTCTGCCTGACACAGTTTCACACGTTCTAGCCAACCAGCTAGAAAGTCATATTTTCCAAACCGATCTGCAAACAGCAATAGGACTAGAAAGCTTCTCTCCATCTAAATATTCTGCCTCAGGTATTTTGCAGGTACAAACAGACCATGATCTGGATTTTTTATTTTTTTAAAAGGAAGCTCACTTGGTTACATACAATATTTACAGGTAACCCTACAGCAATGTTGAATTTTAAATTATTTTATTTCTTGTGACTCACAAGAATCAAGTAATTTAAAATTCAACTTAGTTGACTATGCCCCGTTGTTTTTTTAAATTCTAACTCTTATGCTTGGGTTACAGATGCTTCAGGTTACACGATTTTGGGCTGCGCACCACACCAAACCCAGAAGTATCGGAATGGGTTACTTCCAGGTTTCGGCACTCACGTATGCGCAGAAGCGCTAAATCGCACTTTGTGCATGCACAGAAACGTCAAATCGTGACCTGCGCATGCGCAGACGCGGTGCTGCGGGCTGCGAACTCTGCGGGTTGCAAATGTGCCTCCTGCGCGGAGCATGTTCACAATCCAAGGTTCCACTGTCATTAAGTATTGCAGTTAACGTAGGTCTATTCATTTCAGTGGGTGTACTCTGAGTTAGTTGACTACAACCCAATGACAGAAGTATAATGTAGCATAAAAACACGCAAAAGGGCATGGGAAAATTAAAAGCTCTTTGCCTGGTGCTGAAATACCAATATAGGTGTGTTGCAAGTCTCTCTGGAAAGAGCATTCTAGTCAGTATGTCACCACTGAAAAGGCCCTCTCTCCCATAGTTGGCCACAGCCTCAAAAGAGCTCAGTGTCACTAGTGCAAAAGTGCTATATGGTTAATTAATGCTATGTAAATAGGAGGCCTATCAGCTGTTTGAACTATTTTCAATTTGGTTAATAATGGACATTTAACAAATTATTCAATCAAATCAAGCACTCAAATCGAAATATATTTTCATATTACCAAATTCTTGATATAATTTTCAAGATATAAAAGGAAGCGTAAGCTGAACAAACACTTACAGCAGTCCTAAACACATTTGCTTGGGACTAAGACAACTGGATTTCAATGGGACTTGATCAAATGTGTGTTTAGGATTGTGACTAAAAGCTACACCTCCCAATTTCCTATCCCAATTTCCTTTTGAATCACACTGGAACTAAAATAATAATTTACAACATGAAAACTGGCCCCAACTCAAAGATACACCGATAATAATAAAATGTCTACCCAGGTGAAAATTGTACTCCACCTGTTAAATAAAGGTTGAGATGTTTAATTTGTCAGTAAGACAATTAATGCTTGCCGACATAAAAGGCCCACAAATGGTCATTTTATGGGATCTCAAGACCAATTGCTTGATTTATAGAGCATGAATACAACCCCGTGCACACCAAAAAATATACAACACTGAATATGATGAGACTTACTTCTGAGTATAACTGTGTAGGCTTCAGCTATAAGTTTGTTTTGTCTGGGGTTACAGGTATGGCAACATCTGCAGATGTATTGCAAAGAACACAATGAGCACAGAAATTTATTCCAAGTAACCGCAGAACTTCAGTGGAGACAGTGTGGTGTCAAGTGACTACTATGTTGAGTTTAGCTGTGGGAATCCCAGGTTAAAAGCTCTGCTCAACTTTGGTGGCCTTGGACAAATCACTATGGGCACAGTCCAGCCAAAGTTAATAACATTTAAGGCTATAATCCTAAGAAGACTTTACTAGTACTCGGGACTAAATCCTGCTGAACTCAGTAGGGCCGACTTCTGAGTAAACATATTTAGAATGGCACTGCCTATTGCACTGATCCTAATGAGAGAAAATGAAGTGCGATCTTATATATGCTTACTCAGAAATTAAGTCTCATTGGGTTCAGTAGGCTTGCCCTTTAGGGTGCTCGGGGGGGTGTGGAGATTCGCTTTCGTGTTCACCTCACCTAAGTACACTCTAGTGCTGCCTTTCTGTTCTTTAGGAAGGTCTTTTGTGCACAAGACCATTTCTTGACCTCTTCCTTCAAGGAAATACAGTGGTATCTTGGGTTAAGAACTTAATTCGTTCCGGAGGTCCGTTCTTAACCTGAAACTGTTCTTAACCTGAGGCACCACTTTAGCTAGTAGGGCCTCCCGCTGCCGCCGCACTGCGGGAGCACGATTTCTGTTCTCATCCTGAAGCAAAGTTCTTAACCCAAGGTACTATTTCTGGGTTAGTGAAGTCTGTAACCTGAAGCGTATGTAACCCGAGGTACCACTGTACTCTCCAAAGAAATCAGGCTCCTGACCAATGGTATCAAATAGTATGGGAAACCGCCTTATCAGAAAAACTAACCAATAAACTGAAACTGACAAGGGGAAAAATAGAGGAAGACTCCTTCACCCCGGTATGGTTCCCCTTTTTCACATACACAGCCCAACAAGACAACAAGAAACCACCAACAGTATACAAATCAATATGGCTAACCTGGTCCAAAAACACCCCCCTCCCCATAAAAACAAATCTCACTACAGCCAACCAAAGACAACCAACCACACCCTAGGCCACCCCCCAACCTCTCTCAGCACCAGGAAAACACAACAAGCAAATAGTAAGAGAACCCACACAAGTGAGGCTGACACAAAACTCCACACATACACTAAGTAGAAGAATAGAAGCATTGCCCCCCGACCCCACCCCACTCACCATTTCCCCCTCTTTTCTTCCCAACCTAACACTGCATGCAACACTAATGTCTCACAACAAATGAAACTCATCTGTAGAAAACGCAACTTGAAAAAAAGAGACAATGCACATATTTTTGTAAACTAAGAAATATTTAATAAAAGATATATATTTTAAAAAAGAAAGAAATCAGGCTCCTCTTTTCACATCTACAGTTTTGCTGGGTGCTCTGAACCCTGAGTTCCAACAAGCAGTGAAGACAATCCTCTATAGACCAGCTCAGGCATTTCTCTGGATACAAATGACTGAAGGCGGGTGCATCCCCCTCCATTGCCTTGCTCTCCCCCTGCCTCTGTCAACCCTCCTGACTCTACATGGTGACAGTGGCTCCTCCTCCTCAGCCAACTTTTTGTTGTTGTTAGATGATTCCAGACTGCTGCTATTTTCCAGGTGGGATTAACTCACATACCAGCAAATTCAAGCTGTGCAGTTAAAGCTGATTTGGAGCTCTCATACAACAAACCTGCCTCCCCAAGAGAGCAGAGGAAGAGGAGGTGGGTGGATTGGGGGCGGGAGGTGGATGGGGGGGAGATAAGGTAGCAGGGCCAGCCAGGCAGTGGGGCTGATGGTCCTTGGTTGATTTCCTTTAACTTGCTGAGTTAATGCATTATGTCAGTTTGCTTCATAGTGATCTCTGCAATAGTGACAGTTGATGTAATACAATGTACCATTAAAATGGTGCACCTGTAGCAGCAAAACCGGATGCCTTCATCTGCCTCAGTTGCAACAAAACATGTCTCTCCTGTATCAGTCTCCACAGCCACAGCAGGCACTCTCCAATGGGTTGGCTTTACCTCTGAAGGCACACACTTCCATTGTCTCCTGAGACAGATGGATGCTAACATTGCAATATTTGTTGTGTTCACATTTTATAGGTCAGTGGGAATCTACAGAGTAAATACTTGCTGTGGCTACTTTCATATTGGGGGCCCAATTCAAAGTAGTATTTCATTGCATGAGTATCCTGCAACATGTTCTTGACACATTGATAGTACAGCTAGCAGTGAATTTACTTTGCTTTATTAGTTGCTCTGCGATGCTTCCACAATGCTGTCTGGAGGGGCTATAGTGCAACTAAAGTGGTGTGTGTGTGTGTGTGTGTGTGTGTGTGTATGTGTAAATAAAATTCAGAGGATTTGTAGTATGAAACATTAGAAGATTTCAGCAAGAAGTTACAGGAGGTGCACTGACTGGAAATGAAGCAGTAGAACTTTTGCAGACACAGACAAGTATGGATAGTAGGATCTTGAATGTGCAATAAAAATGATATCCTGAGGCCCCTAATGTGGAAAACTGTGGGTAACATGCAGGGCTGGATTTAGGTTTCATGTGGCCCTAAGCTACTGAGGGTAAAGGGACCCTTTATATGTCCAGCCGTCCTTTGTCAACATCAAATTGTTGCTGTTTTTTGTATTGAATATTTTAGGGAGCAGGCTAGCAGGCGAGGCCCATTACTTACATCATAGGAGCCTACACAACACAAAACACTGTTGCTGTATGTAGGTTTTATTTTATTTGTTTTTTATCTTATATTTTGGAAATGTACATCCAGGTTTTTTTCCTTTAAATTTTTTTGGGGGGCCCAAGAGAGTGGGGCCCTAAGCTATAGCTTATTTAGTTTATATGTACATCCGGCACTGATAACATGAGGGAAGATGGGGGGCGGTACCTGCTGAAATGTTAAAGTTATGTAGCTTATAGATGGTGAACCATGAGTACACAGTGCTGCTAAAACAACAACTCTCAGCGTGGAAATAACTTCACATAATAAGTTTTGGGCAAAACAGGGAAACTGCCCAGTTCAAATTACAGCATAAACGTCAAATGGCAGTATAAACGTCAGCTCTCAATTTACCTATCTTCACCTGACGCCCCCCATTTATAAAACCTGCTTTGAATCGAAAGGATGCTTCCTGCCTTATATCCAACAAAAGGGAGGGTTGTCTAGAAGATTAAAAGGCACTACAATGCCTCGCTTGAGAAATAATTCGAATTCAACTACAGCCATTCAGTCCCCTTCCAATGCCCAAGACCCCACAACTATTTCTGAATAGAGGCGAATAAGAAAGAGAGAGAGAGAGAGAGGAAAGAGGGGAAGAGGGGAAGAGGAGATCCCCGTCGCTAGGACGGCGCTGCCGGCCTCGCCCTGTCCCGCTTCCCCGCACCCTCGAGGGCTCCCGTCCGCCCGGGGCTCCTCCTCCCTCTCCGCCCACAGCCCCCGGCGATCATCGCCCCTTTGCTGTCTAAGGGCTGGACTCGGCCGAGCCCTATAAATGGCCCTGGCAGGGGACGGTCGCGGCCACCCAGCCGGAGGAGCCGCAGCGCGAACCGTCCCGTCGGAGATCATGAGCTTGCAGCCGTGGGGCTATTTAAAGGACAATGGTGAGTGGGGCGCGGGTCTCTCGTGGGGAGCCGGAGTTTGCGGCTTCCCACGGCGGCGCCCTCCTCCCCGCGTAAGAGGGGAGCGGGTAGGAGATGCAGCGCAGTTTCGCTAACGGGAGCATCTCTCACCGGCTGCAGAAGCTGCTCCTTGCCCACCGGTGCCCGGTATTTATTTATTTTCGATGGAGCTCCCCATGAATAGCATCTCTTTCTATATTGGATTCCCAGGGCTTTGGGGTCAGTCTTGGTATGTTCTGTTGATGGACTTTCCCCCGCTGATTAGCAAAATTGGGCGCAAGCTTTCCGGGCAGCTATTGAGCTCTTTCAGCTGGCACAGATGTCCTTGCCGCCTGAAAGTGGGAATGGGGACGTGGGTTTCCTGCAGATCACAGAATTGTAGAGTTGGATGGAACCACAAAGATCACCTAGTCCAAAAGCAGGGATCTTTTTGCCCAATGTGGGACTCGAACCCACAACCTTGAGATTAAGCAACTTCTGTTCCACCAACTGAGCTATCCCAGACTGCATGCAGCTTCCATCACCCCTGACCATGTTGGCTGGAGCTGGTGGGATTTAGAAACCAAGGACATCTGGAGGGCCAACAGGTCCCCCTGTTTCTTCCTCGAAGATGGAGGTAGCTTCTATTCATCCTGATTTGCAAGCACAAAGTTTGCAGGGAGCTTGTATGTTTCATGAAGCAATTGTTTGCATGCTTTCTGGTGCATTTTTCCTGGCACTACTCACCTCTAAAAGACCATTAAAAAACCAACACCAAATTCGCTTTCATTCTGCCATGTGAATTGGTTGGTACACAGTTCAACGCAACCAACAAATAAGCAAAATTCAGGGACAGATCTGACATGTTTTTACAGGTATGCAGGAAGCTGACTTATGATGGGTCGGAATATTTGTCCCTTTGTTCTTGCCTGCCCTGACTGTCAGTGATTCTCCAGGGTCTGGAGGCTGGGGCTTCGAAGGATTGAAGCTGGGACATTCTGTGTACAAGAATGCACTTTGTAACAAAGCAATGTGGCACTTATCAAAGCTAGCCTTTCTGTGCTTTCATTTATGCTTTCTGGCTAAATTTTGTGGAAATAGCTAAGTAAAATTCTCTCTCTCCTCCCATGTATTTAATTTTACATCCCACCTTTCTTCCACAGTACCCAAGCAGCGTTCAAAACTCCCATTGTTCTAGGCGTGTTTTGGGACAGAGAATTTCATAAACGCCAGCAGTTTCTGAGCTCTGGGCGCAGTACTGCGCCTAAGATTTCAGATTAAAATTGCCACTGTTACTCAGAAGTAAATTCCAACCAAGTTCAATGGGGCTTCCTCCCAAGCAAAACGTGTATGGAATGGAGACCTGAGAACTTTTTCCCCTTTCCTTTTTAAACCCAACATGTTTTGTTTAGGTTTTAGTTGCCTTGTTTAATGTACTTTTAATGTATGATGTGCTTTTAATTTGAAATATACTAGCCAGTTCGTTATGATGGTTTAAGTAGTGCATGTTAAAGTGTTATCTACCTCAGACTCTCACAGTGATGCTTAAAATCAAAACAAATTTTGGAGTAGGGTCACTGAAGGACCCTTAAGTCTTAGGTTTGTGAACTGGGTGTCTCTGCCATCAGTTGTATAGGCCTTTATGTGTTAATTGTGGTGCCAAAAAGATATATTTATATGAAGGAAAGGGGGTGTAGGGAGAATTCAGGGCTTGTCTGCAGAGTGGAAGGAAAGGAGGACCTTTTTCTGCCTCCCCACTTCCAGTTACTCTCTGAAGACTGCAGAAGGGACCCTCTTAAGAATATTTGGGGGGCCAGCAGGGAAAGCATGGCTTTGCTTTTTTGAAGTCTTCAGATGATAACCAGACTATGTGAAAAATGAACAAAAGATTTTAGCTGCAGTTCATTCATTTTCAGCTTTGTATTCCTGTTATAAAAAGTGTGTCTAGACATCCTATTGTTGCGCCCATAACCTAGGTTTAAGGTGCCATTTAGCTCCTAGCTTTCATATTTCAGTTTCTAACACTGTACTCAAGGTATTGTATGTAGAGCAGGGATAGCTAGACTACAGACTTTTTTTTGTTGTTACTGGAAACCCAGGGTTTTGTTTTGAGTACCAGAACCAAATGGGAGCTCACAGTCTTTCCACACAGAAATTCATTCCCGGTTACTCCAAGCTTTCTTCACTTCAGCAGCTTGCTTTAGAAGAGGAGTCATTTTGTTCCTGCTCTTCGCAGCCTAACTTAAATTGCGGGGAAGTTGTGAGGATAAAACAGTTTGAAGAAACTTAGGAAGTTGCAGTTCAGTGGTTCTGCTCCTGCCTGCAGGGCCATTTCCAGAAAGCAATTATGTGGGGCAACCGTTCAGTGCCCTGGGAGTTGCCCTGTGCCATCCTGCAGGCTTCTGTCTTGTCCCTCAAGCTATTTAACATATATCTGAACCACTGGGATCTGTCTTCAGGAGATTCCTAGTGAGGTGCTGCTAATTTGCAAATGACACCCAACTCTAGCTCTATCTGAATCAGGAGAGGCAGCAGAAGTGCTAGACGGGTGCTTGGAGATAGTTAGGAGCTGGAGGTTGGCAAATAAACTGAAGCTGAATCCTGAAAAGGCAAAAGTGTTATGGGTTCTGAGTTCTCAAATCTGGGAGGTGGGAGGCTGCCTGTTCTGGATGGGGTTATACTCCCCTGGAAGAAGCAGGTTCATAGCTTAGAGGTACTCCTGGATCCAACTTTGTCACTTGGGACTCAGATGTCTTTGGTGACCAGGACTGCCTCTTTCCAGCCAAGTCTGGTTGGCCATCTATGGTGTCTTTTGGACAAAGAAGACTTGGTCACTGCACTCCATGTGCTGGTAACTTCTAGACTGGATGAGTGGAATGCATTCTATATGGGGCACTCCTTAGAGTCTACCGTAATTGGAAACTTCGACCGGTCCAAAATGCAGCAGTCAGATTGAAGCCCCAGCCAGTATTTAGAACTCCTATAACTCCTGTTTTAAAACAGCTGCACTGGATGCTAGTTTGTTTTTGGGTCCGGTTCAAGCTACTCACATATGTGATTGAAGCCCTAAACAACTTACACCCTAAATATCTGAAAGACAACCTCCTTCCCTACAGATCCTCCCAGTCTAACTTACCTCACAAGGTTGTTGTGGGGATTAATCTATGGATTAAAAAGGTGAGATATCAATGCAATGCAATAAAATAATAAATAACTCTCTATCCTAGTGTCTGACACCTGAGATATATGTACTAGGACCCACCCAATTCTCTTGATTGTAGTATGTTTTAACTATTTTAACTATTGTATTTTTAAGACGTGGTGAACTGCCCTGGGTTCTTGTGGTGAAGGATGAATAAGAAATCTTACCATCATAAGCATCATCAAAATCCATGATGGCAAGGGGGAGGGGGAGGGGAATTTCTTCCAGCACAGTTCTGCACATATACTCAAAAGTAAGTGCCACTAAGTTCACCAGCTAAGGGTATATATGACTGCAGCTGTCAACCTTTAAATTTAAGTCAATCTGCCCATTCTTTCTTACTAATTTACCATGGTCCTGTATAACTGAGCAAGATACTAAAGTTTGCACTTCCTGACTGCCAAACGCTAAGCAAATATGAAAGTGGGTACTATGCAGTGTTTGCAGGACTTATAGCTTATATTCAGAACATGACGCTCTCTTATTGTCTTTCCCCCTTAGGGCCAGATCGCTGGCATGAAACATACCCAATGGCTAAAGGGAATAATCAGTCACCTGTTGCAATCCTGACCAAGGATGTCTACAAAGACCCTGCTCTATTGCCTTGGTTTACTGGCTATGATCCAGGTGCAGCTAAGACCATAATGAACACTGGGAAAACTTGCCGTGTTACATTTGATGACACTTTCGATCGCTCAGGTAACTTTGAGTTTTATCTCTTACAAATACTTCTAGTTAACCAGTATGCACCCCTGCAAAATGAAGTCAGGAAGGGATCATTCAAACTACTAATATCTTTCGGGGTGGGGTGGCAGAGACCCTCTCCTACTTCATACTTTTTTGCATGCAGGGGTCTTAAGCAATGTATATATTTATTTGATTTATTGATTTACAGTGGCAGGGCAGCTTTATAAAAACAGCCTGAAGCTAAGCTAGACTAGAAGCACAGAACAATGAAGAAGTCTTTGCTAGGCATGAAAATGACATCAAGATAAGTGCTAGGGGAAGTTCTGTGAGGAGGACACTCCACAGTTGGGGTGCCACCATGGAAAAGTCCCTCTCCCCCACCACAGCACACTCTGAGTGGGTGGGAATCAGAGAAAGGACTCCAAAGAGTAACTCAAAAGTCTGGTGAGTTCAAGGGTAGCCAACATGGTGCACTCTGGATGTTTTTGAACTCCGGTTCCCATCAGGCCCAGCCAGAATAGTCAATGGGCAGGGGGAGGGAAATGACATCCCACTCTGCTCTGCCTCCACTGGCACTGCCTTTGTGTTGCCCACCTCCACTGGTGGCGGCAAAAAAGTGGTGCTGGAATCAGCAGCTATTTATGGCAAAATCTCGCTGAAATTTCGTGAGCTCTCTTGTTTTCCGTGAGATTTTGGTGAGCTCTTGCTGGAAATCTACACTCCTGCTGGTACCACTTCTCCACCAGTGGCGGAGGCAGTGGCATGGATGGGGCGCCAGCAGAGGTGTCTGCCACCTAAAACGGCTGCATCACCCCAATTCATGGGTGGGCCAGCCCTGGAGGGCACCATATGACTACCCTTGGCTAAGTTCAGGTGGAGAGAGGCCATTTTTTCAGTACCCTGGTTGCACGTTATGAAGAGGCTTAACACTCAAAACCAAGACGTTTGATTGGACCTAGAAATAGATTACAAGCCAGGGAAGATGGTGAAGTACCTTTGTGATACTCTTGTGTGATAGCTCTTCTGCCTTCTGATGGTCCAGTTAGGCAGTTTTAGACTCTGGACCTGAAAGGTTTTAAAATATTTAGATGGCAATGTGTATTACTTAATTACTTAAATGAATGCCCCCCTCCGTCCTATGCATTATGCACAAAAGATGAGTGACCTGCATTAAAATGCAGAGAACGATCAGTAGCCTTTGGCCTGGACAATAATATCACAGGGACACAGATATTTGCTGTGGGAATCTGGTTTTACCAAGCTTAAACCTACTTCTGAAGGCCAGTTTGAATATTCAGAAGAGGTTGAGACTTTTGTACATATATCATCCGTGCGTCTAATTCCCTGTCTCTAAAATAGTGGTGTAAGAGCTCATGGGTCTCATCAGAGGAACTCCACAGTTCAGACTGAGAACATAGTACAAACCATAGAATAGATGGTCCACGAGGTCCTGTTCCAAATATGATAATAGCAGTAGGGTTGTAGATTCAGCACCATTCACTGTATTGTGATGGGGGCTATGCATTGCTCATCATCATGCTTTCAGCTGTACGTCTGCCATTCACAAACCACTTCAGGTGATGCCCCTCCCTTAGTCATTGCCAGCAATGGCTCACTTACAGCCCTCAAAATGTTGTTGGACCACAATTCTCTTCATCACTGGCCATTGGTCATGCCAGCTGGGACTGGTGGGAGTTGTTCAGCAAAATCTGGAGGGCTTCCTCAGTACATCACTGGAGGGGTGAAGTCAAATGAAACCATGAAAGTTTCCTTTACTCGTGATGGAAGTTCTGAGTCCAGTCAGCTTAAAAAATGTCAGAAGACTGACACATGTCTGGCTTTGGCATGTAGAGCCATAACTTACTCTAGGCTAAGTAATTTTTTAATGTTTGTTTGTTTTAATCGTACTGTTAAGCTGTAATCCTCAAGGGATGCTTTGGATAATTGCTCTCCATGGGACTTAATGAAACTGCTTTGGATATTTTAGAATTAGGACCTTAAGGATGTTGATCCTAAACATTGGTGACATTATACCTGCTTGCGGTGGTTTGTTTTTTTCTGATGTTACTGCCACGCTGATGTAATGTTCATCTTTTGTGATGTTGTCCTACTATAGTAGTTGTGAGACCCTAACTTTGGCATGTATACCAGAGCATCGAGTTCCAGGTCCTGGCTTTGGGGACACCACAATCACCCTAGTGGGAATTTCGCTATCAATTTCAGTGACTGAGTGTCCTCATTTGTCATGAAGCCATGACAGCCAGGCCACCCGCACTTTATATGGGCCTTTGAGATCTTTACATAACTGCTTTTTGTTGCTGGTGATTTATTTCTGTGTGGGTACGTCTGGATACCAGTCAGAATGAGAAGAATTGACACAGCTGAGGCGCGGGGGCGCTGCTTTGTGCAGGCATCCCCATACCAACTAAAGAAAGAAAAGTCAACGTTAAGCCTTTTGCCCTGTGCTTAACACAGCCTTTATCCTTGGGTATTCCAGCACATAGGATATCAATCACTGACATGAGACCAGCAGTGCTCCAGTACAAAAGGATTTAAGATCTGTGTTAGCATTAACTTTGAAATTCCATGCTATTGCTGGAGGTCAAAGAACTTGAACGTTGTTCAAACAAAGGCCTTCTGGGATTGCTACAGTACATTGGGTTATCAGCTTTCTGGCTCTGGAAACTTGGGTTCCTTTCCCTTTTTAGGCTGCAAATAAAGACAAGTTTAGTATCTCAGGGGACCCAGGGTTACAACAGTGGGACAGGGGCGTTGCAGGTCAGGAAGGAGGTTCTCTTGCAGAACACCCTGTTTTCCAGAACTTCCACACTCTTTGTAGAGACTGTGAGGTCTCCCTTCCAAACTTTCATAGAATAAAAGCCTCATTGCTATTGCCAATTGTTTTGCTTTAGGTGAAAAATTCCCTTCTTGGAAATGCAAGCCATATAATTGCACATTGTCAAACACACATAGCTGACTTTATTAACAATAATGACAAAGAATATGCCAAAACAGTCTGCCGACCAAATGTTTATTTATTTATGGACCTGTTAATGCATCGTTACTGACATAGCCAACTGTGCTATACTGTTACTTTGTTTTTATCCTAAAACAGCATGGCAAAGCCATCATTTTGTATCTTGGGGAAAACCTGGCCTCATTGTTTTCACTTGTGGATTATCACCTGTCACTATAAATCTGGCAACAGGTGAGGCTTTGCGTCAATAAGACCTGCTCTCCCCCATAACTATATATAAACAGGGCTAACATTCCTTGCCTGATAGATTTTGTTTTTACCTGGCTCCCAGTGGCATCTGCCTTGTGAAAAAAAAGGAATCAATTTCCCTCCCACTTGCAACCTACTGGGTAGAATAGACATTTTATTCCATTGATTTTACAGTAGATTATAAGCTGCCAGCTCCAGGGGTTTTTTGTTTTTTGCTGATGTGACTATGCCGTCACACACTTGCATTCACACCAGAAGGGTATAATCAACAGATCCTTCCATGCACAAAAATCTGTTTTGTATGGTGAAAACAAAAACCCCATAATGGAGAAAGATTGCTTATTATCAGAAGAAGAATCTTGCTGCATCTCACCAGATCTCTGTCTTGTCCAGCATTCTGCCCCAACAGCAGATTACCTATTGGGGGCTCACAACTAGGACATATGCTGGTTTTCAGAGTCATAGTCCCTGAGTTTTTTTTTCATTTTTAAGCTGACCGAGTTAGTGGTTATTCCTAAATCTCGTGGTAGTGAAATTTAGGTGGTTCTTCTTCAGTGAGACAATGCCATAAGGAATAACTAAGAAATACATATATGAATTTCCCACTGTAAAATAGTTGGCAGGTGGGCATCTGACATTTTCATAGTAGGAAAACTGTTCCATTGCAACTCCTTTATTCTTAAGCAAAAGCAGGATGGTCAGAGTTGGAGATGGGGTTTCATACTGGGTGGAATGTAACTGGAAACAGGTGATAACTTCTTCAGAGAGCTGGTGGAGGTATGATAGAGGCATTGTTGCTCATGCTAGTTACTCTGGTTTAGCTATGATCTCTGGTCAAAGAGCTTTGCAAGTTGCTATGGTGCTTTAAGAGGCAGCAGTCCTACTTTTGAGCAAAGGCAGAGGCTGTACACACTATACATTCAAAGCACATATGAAGCATCTTCTTTCTCTTAAAGAATTCTGGGCACAGTAGTTTTGCCCTCACAGAATTACAATTTCTGGCAACCCTTAACAAACTACTTAGAATTCTTTGGGGGGGGGGGGGAAAGTGTTCCAAATGTGCTTTCAAAATATTGCGTGCACAGAGCTAAAAGCGACAAAGAAGACTTCGCATGTAGCCAAACTATGAGTGATGGCCTTATAGGGAGGTTCAGGCACCCCATGTATTGAGAGGATTTATGAGGAAGACCACAACACTTATGTAAGCTAGCCCCACTCCTGCCATGGGCAGCAGCATGCAGCTAGTATGCAAGGGATACAGTGAACGGGAGTTCCTTCACATGCCAACCCAATGCACAAAAGGTGTGGGCATGGCTGCTGGGATGACATTGGGTCTGTGGCATTGTGGAGTCAATAAGATTGTGGCCAGGCTGACAACACAGTTGCAAAAACAAAACAAACGAACAAAACCTTGTGGGGAAATGAAATAAGCTGTGTTGCTGCCACTGCTAATGGTAAGCTCCCTGAAAAAGTGTTGGCAAATTCTCCCCCCGCTGGAGAAACTAGGCACCTCCCACCATTTCTGCACCAATAAAAACAGGGTGGTGAATTTTCAGGTGCCATTTCAGAACAGCGCTAATTTCAACCTCTCCTTTTTCAGGTTGACTGTAGTTGTTTGAACTACACAGGGCATCCCTCACACAAGCATCTTCTCTTATGGTATGAAGCACACAGTCAGCACTTGGGAGCTCAAGATATTTCACAGCAGTTTGGGGTTGATTGGCATGTCTGGAAGGAAATAAATACGGACACTTGCTGTCGTCGTCCCCCCATTTTTTGTTTTTGTTTATTTTAAGGGGGGAGGACTGCAATATTAAATTACACACTTGTGTGTGATAAGAGAAAGGAATTTTAATCAATAATTACATTGGTTATTTGAAGGAGCTTCAGAAGTATTTCCTGTGGTGTGAAATGTAGCTTCCTTGCCATTATAACTGGTTCTTGATTGAGAGAGAAGTCAGGGCCTATTTATAGATGGGTGAGGGGTGTGAATTTTGGGCAAAGGCTCAGCTTCACTTGATGCCCACAGAGTGACATGTAATTAACTCATAAGTGACAAGTGTGAGCTATTATTGTTCTCAACCAAGAATTCCTGTTCTTAATTGCCACCAGCAGTGCTACTGGTAAACCTCATGCTTCACGATGACACTGTGTTTGTGGAATTCCCTCCTCAAGGAAATATGTACAGCAGTGCTCTATCATGACTGACACTGAAGAGAACTCTTGAGACTTTTTAATTTAGACCCACTTTAATTAACTGCTGTGTTTTTATTGTTACTGCTGTGTAGTTCACTATGTATTCTTTCATAAATTATGTGCACAGTGTGTCCTGCAAGGCAGCTTAAAAACCCACAAATAAATAATCACTAGTTGCACACTTGAGTTCTTACAACTGGCAAAATATCATGACCAAGAGGTTTTTTTTAAAATCAAATCCGAAGACCACTAAACAAACAGACATGGGTCCTCTTGGGACTGTACCACTTTAGAATGCAAATGGAGATCAAATTATTGTTCTTCAACAGCAAACTGCAGAGTTAGGATGCCTGGGAGAAGGTTGCCAGTTTAATTTGGCAATCTTCCTGACATGCTAGCTTTTCATTTGTAGGGATTTTAAAACAGCTGCAGGGAGAGGCATTCCTGACTCATTTTTAAGTGATATAGTCCTAGAAAGTTATACCACTCCCCATCTCTAAACCTTTAGATTGCCTTTGAACTCAAGGAAAGGGGGACTGAATGTGTGTCCCTTTGCATGTATAACCTTCCAGTCTTCCCTGAGGCTTTATGGAGTTTTGCTATTGGTAGCTCCTGTTCAGATGTTTGATGTCTTGGGGCTGCTTTGAATATTTATATTAGTGTGTGGGAAAGAAACCCACCAAAGAAGGTTGCTATGAATGTATAGGGAAGTTTTCAATATTTTATGTTTATTGTGTTTTTAATATTTTGTTGGGAGCTACCCAGAGTGACTGGGGCAACTCAGTCAGATGAGCAGCATGTCAACAACAACAACAACAACAACAACAACAACAACAACATCATGATGATAAATCTGAACCTTGTTTATGTGTAATTTTGGACAACTCCCAAGCTATGAGAAGACCAACCATTATTATTAATTGTTTTTATTAAAAGATTTTCCTGGGCAACAAAAGTACATACAGTGTCTCTGTAAGGTCAACCATTTATTCAAGTAACGTTAATTTCTATGAATACTATAATGACGGCAGAGTAGTAATAACAGTGCTGTAGGCACCAGGTACTGTATGGCTCTAGGTCTGAGGGGACCCCTTGTCCATCAGTGGATCTTGTTGGGCTTAACTGGCAAATGCAACAGCAGTGCTCCAGGAAGCTGGCTTTAGCTGCCATTTTATTTTGTCACCATGCCCACAATGTAGCGTTGCTTCAGGGCTTTGCAGGAAATTTAAATGGTGGCTAGCCCCTGGTCGATCCCCTGTCATCCAGTGCTGATTGAAGTGCCGGCGATAGGCTGTGCCAGCGTGGCTGGGGCCATGGCAGCTGCCCCAGGATGCCAGGTGATAGAAGATGAGATGCCCTCCCTGACTTCAGCCATATTTGCAAGAGGTGCTCATCAACCCTAAAAGAAAAGGCCCATGCAGTACATGGTTGTCCATTTTGTTTCAGCCCAGAAAAGCCTTCTTTTAATCGAGACCTATTTGTTGCAGTGCTCAGGGGAGGGCCACTCCAGGGTACTTACCGGCTGCGTCAGCTTCTCATCCACTGGGGTTCAACAGATGACAAAGGCTCAGAGCATGTGATTGACGCAACGAGGCATGCAGGAGAGGTGAGTCTTTGTGCGCTAGAGAATGCATCATGGAGGATAAAGCTACCAATGGCTGTTTACCATGACGTCTATACTCTGCCTTCCATGGTCAGATGGGGAGAGGGCTCTTGCTCATGGGTCTCTTACAGCCACCTGGTTGGCCCCCCGTGAGAACAGGATGCTGTGAAAATTGGGTGCGCAAAAAAGGAAGAGAATAGGAGGCATGCTTATGGGGTTGAGAAGATAAAAAGGAGGGGCGTGAAAGTATCTGAAGAATAGGAGGGGATAGCGACTTCATAGCTGGGAAGAAGGTGAAAAGGGTGCTTAGGAGTTGCAATGTGTGGTAGCAGGAAGATGCAGGAACTTACAATTGGGGTGTTCTGTGTGCAATGGGGCGGTAGCACCCCCATCATTCAGCCCAGACACTGAGGTCCAGCTCCGAGGGCTTCTGGTGATTCCCTCACTGCGTGAAGTGAAGTTACAGGGAAGCAAGAGGGCCTTCTCGGTAGTGGTACCCGCCCTGTAGAACGCCCTCCCATAAACAACTATCTGACTTTTAGAAGACATCTGAAAGCAACCGTGTATCGGGAAATGTCTAATGTTTTACAAATTTTTTATGTGCTATGAGATACCCAGAGTGGTGGCTGGGGAAACCCAGCCAGATGGGTGGGGAATAATAATAATAATAATAATAATAATAATAATAATAATTGCATCAAAGATGGAGGGTGAAAGTGCAGCCAGGTTCAGGTTCAGGACTGCAGAATAGAAGAGAGAATTGGCTTCAGTAATGGGCTCAGAAGGTGAAAGTTTAGTAGTTTCATGGGGGTGGGAATGAGAGGCTCTGGGGGGTTAATGTGGGGGGTGAACAAGCATGGGCAGAGTCCCTAGTATAATAGATTTTCCTTGTTTCCAGATTCATTTGGTGCACTGGTATCCTAAGTATAGCAATTATGCAGATTCTCTGAGAAAAACTGACGGTGTGGCTATCTTGGCTATTCTTCTGAAAGTAAGCTCTATCTTTCTGTACACATATTATGATACCTAGCAATCTTGCTGTCTAAGTAGCTCAGTCGGTAGAGCGTGAGACTCTTAATTTCAGGGTCACGGGTTTGAGTGCCACATTGGGCAAAAGATTCCTGCATTGCAGGGGGTTGGACTAGGTGGTCCTTGTGGTCCCTTCCAACCCTACAACTCTATGTCTATCTGAAACAATGTCCTTTTATATCACTCACACTACCCCAGTATTGCATGGATGTGCAAGTGTGATTCTACTATGTCTGGACTGCCTTGTTACCAGTGGGGTCTCAGCAAAGAAGTGCAGTTCATCATGACAGCACCCCCAGCCACACCCTTAAGGAGAGTCCAAAAATTCAGACAGCTAAACTGATCCTTTGTGTGTGTGTTTGCACGAAGGAGCAGCAGTCCATAGCATAATTAGAATCTTATGTACAATTTCCTGGCAGGGTTGCCAGTGGGGCTTGCATCTGACAGTATAGGTTCTGCTTGTAACACACATTGAGCTTCAGCCAGTTGAAATGCAAAGATTTTGCAAATAAATGTTGCTGTTGAAACTGTCTGCTCCATAACAGAAAAGAGAAGAAAATAATTTTTCTCCTTCTCTGACTGCCACCATGTGACTCGGTCACAAGTATACTTGAAAGCCCCATTATCACCACATTTGTTTGCCTGAGAATCTGTTTAATTACCCTGGCACTGTGGCAGATGACACTGACGATCCTGCTCTGAAAAAAAAGTCCTGGAGCTGTCTTCTTCTGAGCTCCTCTCCCACCACACCACAGTTTATTATACCAACAGAACACAATTAGCACACATGTCAAACGGACATTCTGTCAAGCAAATCATTTAAATCATCCCCACTGTGCTCTTCTTCTTATCACATAAGAATTAGAAACCCACAGCTTTTTTCTGTTATGAAGGAACCTCTGTGCATGCTTACTTGGAAGTACCGTATTTTTTGCTCTATAAGACTCACTTTTTCCTTCCTAAAAAGTAAGGGGAAATGTGTGTGCGTCTTATGGAGCGAACGCAGGCTGCACAGCTATCCCATAAGCCAGAACAGTAAGAGAGATTCAGAAAATCTGTACAGATAATCCTTAACTTTCCTCAGAGGGTAGGAAGTTGGATGAGCGAGATGTTGCTGCATTCATGTTACCATAATTCAGTGACAGCAAACTAAGTAAAATGAACAATCAAGCAAACACATTGTTCCAAATGTTGTTCTCTGTTGTTTTTAAACCCAACAGGCATGGTTTTTGCTGTTTTTCTGTGCAAGATGTTCTCAGAATTAAACAGACAGATGGGGTGGTTAAAGATCATTTCTGCATGTTGTTGTGATTTATAATCTTCCATGCTATTCATCTTGTACTTTCTCTGTCACAGGTAGGGAAAGATCCCAAGCCAGAGATGAAGAGAATTCTTGAAGAAATGGAAGCCATTAAGACCAAGGTAACTTGAGCGTACAACTGAATCACACTTGCAAAACAGCAACCATCTATAATCTGCCAAGGAAACAAGGAGGGGGCCTGTCAAACCAGTCACAGGGACCACGCAAGGGAGAGGCAGGTGGAAGTTAAAACAGAAATAAGAGAAGGGTTTACTGAAGAAGTGGATGTGTAGAAGGGGCATAAGGGAAACAAGATAAATATTTTGGCTCTTGAAGATTAGAAGCAGGGTGGTTTTTCCAAGAACTGGGTTCAGCCACTATCAGATGAGTGTACACACAGTTAAAGGAATGGGTGCATTCCTCCTACATTTAGAAACTGGAGTGGAGTATCCTTTTTATCTTTCCCACTCCATTTTTTTGTGGGGGAGGGGAATGGTCACAAAAAGCGTGTGTGTTAGTTGTTGTTTTTTTGAAATAATTTTTATTGGTTTTACAAAATAAATTTCACATTTACCACATTTAAATTTCAAAATCAATCTTCTGAATTTTAGGACTCCCCATACCCCATATATATATATATATATATATATATATATATATATATGGGGTATATATATATATATATATATATATATATATATATATCAACTGCATATTATAATTCTTCCACGTTATGTTCCTCCAAAATTACAGTGTTCTCTTAAATACAGCCTACATTTGTCTCATTCCCTGTTGAAGCTTTGTTCCTCCTGATTTCTGATTTTCCCTGTCAATCTTGCCATTTCTGCATACTCTAATAATTTTGTCTGTTAGTCCACTTTTGTCGGCATTTTCTCCTCTTTCCACTGCTGGGCAAGCAGCAGTCTAGTCTTCTCAAATCTTTCGGTATATCTGCACCTATAATTCCTAGGAGAAAGGCTTCTGCTCTTTTAAACAAATGTTATTTTAAACATTTTTAAAAGTTCATTACATATCATTTCCCAGAATTCCTTTATCTTTTTACAATTCCACCACATATGATAAGAGGTGCCCTCTTTTTCCTTACATTTCCAACATACATTTGAGTTAGTCCTATACATTTTTGCTAACTTACTGGGTGTTAAGTACCAACGGTACATCATCTTCATATAATTTTCCTTCAGCGTATAACATGCCGTAAATTTTAAGTCAACTTTCCATAATTTCCCCCATGTTGCCAACTGTATATTATATCCAAAATCTCTTGCCCTTGTGTGTGTGTTAGTTATGCTTATTCCTGACCTCAACTAGATCTTCAACTGGATTTAATAATATTGCTTCTCTTTTTATTTATTTAAGGGGAAAGAGGTTCCTTTTCAAAACTTTGATCCATCCATCCTTTTCCCTCAAAATCGGAGCTACTTCACCTACCAAGGCTCCTTCACTACACCTCCTTGTGATGAGTGTGTTACCTGGATTATTCTGAAAGAGCCAATCACCGTCAGTGTGGACCAGGTAAGCTTTTCTTATGCAAGTATTTCATGTGAACTACATCCACATACAGTTTGCTGAAAGCCTTGCTCTGTTAATCAGAAATAACATGCCCGAATTCAGTGCTGACAACAGCCATGAGAAAATGCTGGGACATTTCTAAAGCTGAGGAATAAGAACTATGAGTAAAGGCTAAAAATCATCTTGGGTTTCAGTTCAGTTTTTGCATTTGTTTACCCAACCACAGAATCAAACAAGCCAATATTCTTTATAATGCACCTCAAAAAACTTCTGACAATGTAACAGGGGGATTAACCCCAAACTAAGACCTGGTTTACACAACACAATAAGCCAAACTATAGCTTACTGGGACATTGTGAATGTGCTGACTCCTAAAGAGGTGCTTGCAACCATTTTGGTCCTCTCCAGTCCTTTATATTCCTGTACCATGCAGAGCTAAGCCAAGGTTTGGCTTGTGGTTAGGCTCTCTTCTCACTATCTGTTGTAGCCATGAACAAACCTGTCTATCTCAATTTTACTGACAAAAGAAAACATTCAGGGAGGGGAGAGACTCACCAAAGAGCATCTGATTCATATTTCCATCCCCATTTTTCCTAGCTTCCTCTCGGCAGCACCCTACACAGGGTTCCAAGCCAAGAGGTCACAAAATCAAGAAGATCCATAAATGAGAAGATCCGTTTGGGTGCGCCAAATTTTGGTCTCGCTCAGGGTGCCCTATTGCCAAAGATTACCAAAATCCACCCCTGCTCTCGGTTAAAAATTTCATTGGAGCACAAAACGCAAATGAACTTTGGCGGGTTTGCTGGGTTTGACAACGTAAATCATACTGAAGCCCCTCCCTCAGCCTTAATTATGTCATTTACATGGAAGCAGGTTCTGCTGGCTTTATCCCTTCATGTTTGGTTGCAAGTACATCCCAAATGGACTCTGGCAGTTTTCTGAGGAAACTGCATTCCATGTGTCTGCTCAGTGCTTAAGACACCTCATTTTTAGCCAGGCTCCAGGTTGGTCCTCACATCTGTTTACTTCTCTGTAGATGGAAAAGCTTCGTAGCCTATCTAGCAATGCTGCAGGTGACCCCTATTGTGCTTTGGTGGACAACTGGCGGCCTCTTCAGCCTCTGAATAACAGGATGGTAAGATCTCCATGCCAATAGAATCTTTGCTGAAGCCCATGATCTTCGGTTGTGAAGACCCAGGATTCCACACTCGTGTTGTGTTTGACCTGCTGTTCTCCCTCGAGATCTGTACTGTTGAGCTAGAAATTCTGAGCGATGAAACAGGACAATTTAGATAAAATTAATCAACATTCTAGAGGGGGGAAATCACTGGGGAAATATTTACTATATTAGAATGGGGGATCTCTCTCGATAATCTTTGTGAACACTACCATTTTTATGGAAAATTCTGTGGGTGGGTGGGAAGGTCTTAAAGGATTTTCTTTCTTTCTTTCTTTCTTTCTTTCTTTCTTTCTTTCTTTCTTTCTTTCTTTCTTTCTCTCTCTCTCTCTCTCTCTCTCTCTCACACACACACACACACACACACACACCTGTAAATGAAGAATGCTAGAGGAGCACAGCAAGAGTTGAATGCATTTTTGTATCATATCTATGTATAAAGTGTCATTAAAAATGCAAATTGTGAAGAAAATCAGCCTGGAAGTCTAACCCTCTATCCTTCTCATTGTTGACGGTGAAATTAAACACATTCATTCAAACAGGATATAGTATGGGATGAAGCATTCTTATTTAATTGCTCAACTTCATTTCCTGTTGATTTGTTTGAAATGATAATCTTTTGAACAGCCAGGATTTTGTTTAATATAAAGGTAATCTTGGTGACTCTAAAATAGGGTGGGTTTTTTGGGGGGGTGGTTTCCAGAAAACATTATGAGTTATTTAATTTTTAGGGTTTCTTGTATCATTTCTCTGATGTGTCAAAAAGGTCACTTTCTGAACTTCTGATTTTATTATTTTGCAGTTAATTTTTATGCCATTGAAGTTAGTGTAATGAAATATTGGTCAAAAACCCATTTCGCTTGTGAAATGCTCAGATGAATTTTGCAATGGGAAATATCTCAAAGTTTCAAACTACTAAAGAAATGGAGTTTTGTATGTCCTGTTTCAATACGTTGCACTCAGTAGTTTACAGATGTCAGAATACCAACTTTGAATCTGACCTATTGAAATAAATGGACTTATTTGTCATTAACTTGCTTACATTGATTCCAGTGGAACTACGCTGTGTATGACTAGTCAGATCTTATCCTGTTAAGGAGGGGGCTGTTTTTTTTCTTCTCAAATCTCCAAAATATATATATATAAGAACTTGAATCTATTTAGTGTTTAAGTTGTAGCACTTACATTTGTAAACATAGGGGGGTACCTAGCTAAATCATTCTCAGAGCAGACCATTGAAATCAACAGAGTATGACTCAGTTGGGTGCCACCCATAATTTGTTGCTTCAAATCTGAAAAACATTTTCAAAAAAAGAATGAAAATAACAGCCAGGGTGTTGTTGTTTTTTAACCTCTTCAAGTTGTTAATAAGGTATTTTCTGGGGGGTTGTTTTTCTTCTTGCTTTGAGCTGGTACTTTCTAGAAAAAGCAATTCAGATAGTATTGCATGATGGCAACATAGGTGCTTTTGTATATAAAACAACAACAACAATAAATCTGTTTATCTCAGAAACAAAGTTTTCAGAACTTCTTAGGTGATTGTAATATGATCCCATGAGAGGGCTTTGTGCACTTAAATCATTTTGATAGGGATTGTTGTTGTTTTTTTAATTCCTGAGGGATATTCATGTTCCTCAACTGTATAAGAAGCCAAAACTGGCAGAGCAGTCTTAACCCAACCTGAGGGATATTGGAGGGCTGGAGCCAACAACACATCTGGAGTTTTGTCAGCTGATGCTAGCTGCTGAACTGGCTTCCTCTCTTTGAAACATGCTGGATTCAGATCCAGTGGTTCCATCGCTGGCCCAGCATTGTCCAGGGAACACCCTATTCTGCAGCCCTACACAGGGTACTACTAGTGGAAGGAGCGCTGCTCACTACAGCCTGCTGCCCTCTCAGGCAGAAGGTGGGCTTCTGCTGCAGGACCGCAATACCTCACCTCAAGGACCACCTCTTCCCATATGAACCTACCTAGACCCTGAGATCATCTTCTGAGGCCCTCCTTCATGTGCCTCCTCCTCGAGAGGTCAGGAAGGTGGCAACATGAGAACGGGCCTTCTCTGCAGTGGCTCCCCATCTGTGGAATGCTCTCCCCAGGGAAGTTCGCCTTGCACCTTCATTATACACCTTTAGGCGCCAGGTGAAAATGTTGCTTTTTAACCAGGCCTTTGGTTGATCTGATTTACATCCTATGCCCTTTAAAAAAAAATGGGGGGGGCTATTGGGTTGCTGTTTTTATTTTTATAAGGTATTTTGTGGTTTTATATCTTGATTTTATTCTGTGAACCACTCTGAGACCCCTGGGTATAAGGCAGTATACAAATTCAATCAATCAATCAATCAATCAATCATCATCATCCCCCCCCAAACCCCCAAAATCAGTCGTACTCCTTGGTGATGGGCAAGAGATCTGTGCTTGATCCTCCTAACCACTATCCTCAGCCATCAAGATATTGGGCAGGTTAGGATTATATACTTGCAGATATATTAGCATGCAAGCCTTTGTGGTACAGAGCAAAATTTGTCAGATGTGTGGCATCCCAAATAGGTAAGCACAAGGGTGCACATGTTGAGAGGTGGACGGTGCTTACTAAGGAAAGCCAAGAGATAGCAGTGTATTTGTTGGTCTTTACATATGGCGCTGTAGTCTAAACCACTGAGCCTAGGGCTTGCTGATCAGAAGGTCGGCGGTTCGAATCCCTGCGACGGGGTGAGCTCCCGTTGCTCAGTCCCAGCGCCTGCCAACCTAGTAGTTTGAAAGCACGTCAAAGTGCAAGTAGATAAATAGGTACTGATCCGGCGGGAAGGTAAACAGCGTTTCCGTGCCCTGCTCTGGTTTTGCCAGAAGTGGCTTAGTCATGCTGGCCACATGACCTGGAAAAACTGTCTGTGGACAAAGGTCGGCTCCCTCAGCCAGTAAAGTGAGATGAGCACTGCAACCCCGGAGTCGTTCACGACTGGACATAACTGTCAGGGGTCCTTTACCTTTACCTTGCATAAACATAAGGGAAAAGCCTTCTGGTTCAGCCCAGCATCCTGTTCTCATGATGGGAGTCTGCAAGCAGAACCGTGATTTTGTAGCACCCTGCTTGTGGTTAACGCTTAGCTGGAATGAAATATTCAACGCAGCAATAGAGAAATTAAAATAATAATTTATTTGTCAGACAAATAAATGAGAGACACAGTGGTATATGGTTACCAAAGCTCTGCCTACTCCAGCCCTGATGGCCAGCACTTATATTTCCTCAGCCCAGCCCCCTTGCTCCTCCTTTGGCTGCCTCTGTCCAATCAGCCTGGTTGAAATTCCTATTGGCTGTTTGCTAGAACCAATCATAAAAGATACACCCATTTCCTATTACCTTTTATGGGAGACAAAGAGCTATATTTCCTTCTATCCATAAATGGCAGACAAGTAGCCATATATCTTACATTTACCTTGACCAGGCACCTTAATTACCAGATAACCTTTCTGCCCTATTGCCCTATTACCCTATTGCCCTATTCACTCCAAAACAGATGGCTAAAACAGATGGCTCATGGTTTTAATTTTTATCTTAAACAGAGATCTTGGGTTCACCTTCTCACACACCATCAATGAAATAAGAATCTAACATAAGAATCTAACATTTCTTACTTTCTAAATCCTTTGCATAATTACATTTAAGCCAATATATTTCATACATAACATAGATAGATTTTTAGAAGAAAAGGAACTTAGTAAAAACAGCTTCAAAACAGCTTCAGAGAGAAGCCTCTTCGGTTTACAACCCCCTTTCAAGCCAGCTGCTGTTCCCATTAGCTCTTGCCCTTTAACCTTAGGAAGATGTGGCTCGAGTCTGATGGGAGGCACATGGTATTTTCTGTTAAACAATAAATTTCACTATTTACCAACTCTTAATTAGTGTTTTTGCAGCTTGATTGTATTCTGTAATTTGTATGGTCAGTATGACCTTTTGCTCCCAGCCTGTAATTTCCTTTTACAACCCTGAGGTACTGCTATAGATCAGGGGGGCCCTTGATCAAGAAGATAAACAACTGCCAGAGTACTCAGCCAGCTGCTTTATATCTGGCATGAAACATACAAACATTTGCAAATATATATTTTTAAGCTCATTTTAAAATACAAGTCTTGATCAGATGCCTCAATCTCAACTGTCTTCTCCCCACCTCCAGTTCCTAGCAAATTGTATTAAATAGCATGCCACTTCTGACAGTGCAGGTAGAGTATAGCCACATGACTAGTAGCAATTTTAAATAACCACCACTGTTTGTGGTTTGCCTGCAAGGTAAAAAATTACGAGGCACATCAGAAACTTCCTTCCAGCTCGAAAACTGAACAATGACTAATGATGAAAGCATTTCTTTTTTAAAAATTGTTATTTGGCTGGGAATAAAATGATTAACATACACAACCATATTCTTGACAAAATGCCAACGGATTGGTTCTCAGAAAACCACTAGGAGGCAGATGTCTTTGCTTCTACATTTTTATCTCATTCAAATAGACAACTGAACATATGTTTTACTACAAACCCCCAACACATTTTTCTTTGTAAATTAAGCACTGAGAATATGCCAATAAATAAAGTTCTTTGCCTATATAACCTTTAGTAATTTGACTTATCTGACTCATTTTTAAATCATTATAGAATTCAATTTGCAAATTTGGGCCTATTCTTACATTTCCTCTTGTTGGCTGCGATTTCTTTTTTTACATTAAAGATGTCTGTTTATCTGAAGCAAAATCAATACTAATTATGTAATCCATTATGCAATCCACTGGTTGCAATTTGTGGGGAAGAATAACACACAAAAATGCTGATTCTCACCTTTTTTTACTTCACAGTCATACTGTTTTTATTTGGACTTACATTCAAGTAATTATGGTTAGAATTGCAGCCATTACCCTGAAGGGCTTAGTGCCATTAATGCATAATCTTGACACTCCGAGAAGGGAGAAATAATTGATCGGCTCAGAATGTTACATTTTCATGCTGTTGGTCTGTAAACAATTCTTGAGTGCATTGCATGCCAAGCACAAGCTTTCATTAATGTTTGGGAGCAAGCCAACATGCATATGTTTACAATGCTTTAGTATTTATGTAGTAATGCAAATCTGTCATCTTGTTGGCCTCCGATCATCTTAGACTGAGTCATAAGTCCCCAGCGTACAACATTAATTACACAAATGTCAATATTATTACAGTACTGTCCTGCAAAGAGAATAGCACAGCACATTCACTGTGACCTTTCCATATTATAATTCTTTGAGATTAGTCCATCTGCAACAACAGAATGCCTTTTGGATTTGGCAGATGAGATCAGTAAATCTGACTGAACAGTGCAAAGCACAACTGCATTTGTCAAATGCCCTAAAGGACAACCGAAATGCTGGGATAATCGTGTCTGGTAGAAACAAGTGTGCTTTTTATAAAAACATCCAAGATGAAGCAAGATGAGAGATGTACAGTGAATTCACATCCAGAATTCAGGTCACGGAGTTCAGATAACAGGGCTTTCGACTATCACATGTTATTTCATGCTGTCTCAGAACGAAAAGAAAGTGAGAGATCTCGTTCTCAGATATTACAGGCGGCTTCTTCAAGATGAGATTACAAAATGTTTAGCTGTATCCTCTCTTAATCCAGATTGCTTTTAGAAATTGATCTTTAAAAGAATCATTTTGGGGTGTGACATTTGTGTACTTGCTTATTCTAATATGCACAGGAACTTTCTCTCCTGCAAGCATGCTAAGGATTTGAGAGTGCAATTCTAGGCATGCTTACCTGGTTGTAAGTTCTTTTAATATAGTGGAATCTACGTCTGAGTAAAGATGCTTTGTTGTTGTTGTTTAGTCGTTTAGTCATGTCCGACTCTTCGTGACCCCATGGACCAGAGCACGCCAGGTGCTTCTGTCTTCCACTGCCTCCCGCAGTTTGGTCAAACTCATGCTGGTAGCTTCGAGAACACTGTCTAACCATCTTGTCCTCTGTCGTCCCCTTCTCCTTGTGCCCTCCATCTTTCCCAACATCAGGAGCTTTTCCAGGGAGTCTTACACTGGGGTTAAAAAAAATTCTCAGAATGAGCAAACATTTTTACAGCTGCTGCAATCCATTATATACAAAGGATTTTAAATTTGTACAGCTAGGTAAAGGGGGAGTGTGTGTGTAAATTCAAGGGAATCCATGTGTATATTCAAGTCTTCAACACACTAAAATAGCAGATATCTGAGAATATACTGGAATGCCCTGTCAATTTTCATCCACCTCGGATTAGGGAGGAAGGTGTTTTGCTTCAGCCATGTTATCTGGTGGGCTGGGTGGTTCTTTCCAAAAAGAAGCAAATGAAGTGTGGTATCTGTGGTGGTCAGTGACACCCTACTTCAGCACCAACCCAGTAGGCTAGGCTCACTGTCAATGAGTGACCTCTCTCTCTCTCTCTCTCTCTCTCTCTCTCTCTCTCTCTCTCCTTGCCAGTTACATGTCACCTAGGGCATGGGGGTGCCTTGCAGTGGTCTACTCAGGAGATAGCTAAATTCTAAGAATGCATACACACTAAACCAGGGGTCCCCAATCTGCAGTCCATGGGCCAGAAGTGGCCCATGGAGGCCATTTAACTGGCCCCCAAGCCACCCCCGAACTGAGCCACCCGCTCGGTGAGTCCCTGCGTGCTGCGCTAAACCGGCACAGCACGGCACTGGGACTCTCTTCTGCAGCTCTGGAAATTACTTCTGGGCATGCCCAGACGCCGAAAATCATTTCTGCGCAGGTGCGATTTTCGGCGTCTGGGCATGTGCAGAAGCGATTTCCAGCACCGCAGACATGCGCAGATGCGATTTCCGGTGTTGCGCTGTGCTGGCTCAGCCCACAAAGGATCTCTGTGGGAGTGATCCGGCCCATGCCCAGTAAGCCTTGCCGACCCCTGCACTGTAAAATGTGTGAGATCACGATATTGTATTTATTTGTATTACTCAGAGCTTTAGCTACTGATGAAGCCCAGGACAGCGAAACAAGGCCAATATTCCGGAAATCCTTGTCTTAGACTCTGTGAAAGGATTCTGTGGAACTGTAACAACCCTTCCTGTGGATTGCTTGGACCTTATGAACAGACAGGTGGAACAGACACTATTACACACGGATGGACCTTACGCATGAACTGATTAGAGAATGATCTGATCCACTGGGTCTTCTGCTTTGTTTGTTTGTTGAACTTTATGAGTTACTTCCGTTGAAATTTATGATTTGATACATGAATAGTATACCTTATTTATCTAAGAACACAGCCGGTTACGTCTCATGTGTTTATTGACCCCTGCACTAAACCATTTATACCACAGATGTCGTTTTTCCTCAATCTGGAATCATTCATGTTCATCCTCAACATGCTGCTTTCAATCTAGATTGATTCTAGATCCTGTGGTTCCATATACACGTTCAAAAACCCTCCCCTTGATTAGCATAGCCATACTTTTTTCTCTCCGCACACCCCTGTCCCAGGGAAATGAAGGAAGTGGCTATTGTGATCTTGGTAGACCCCAACCCACAATGTCATTGGATAAACTACTCCTCATTACTGGGATGGCCCACATCAGTTTTCTTCCAATCAATTTTCTTCCAATCAATTTATCCCTTTTCTTCCAATCAGTTTCTCAAGAAGTGCCCTCTTCTTGCTGCTGTACTCCAACTTCCACCCCACCCACCCCCAGCCAGCATGTGCAACTGTCAGGGGTGATGGGAGCTGTAATTTGGTCACATGTAGAAGGCGATAGGTTCTCCATCCCTGCCCTAAACACAGATATGGATAGCTGAGTTGGTAGAGCCATGAGACTCTTGATCTCAAGGTTCTAGGTTCGAGCCACACATTGGGTGAAGGATTCCTGCATTGCAGGAGGTTGGACTAGATGAACCTTGTTGCCCCTTCCAACTTGACAGTTCTGTAATTCTTTGTAGGGACACATTAAGCACTTTACAGATGGCAGTCCAGCTGTAAAAAACGAACACAGGTTATGAGAGCGGTGTCAGGTTCCAGTCCTGACTTGGGCACATTTGTTTCCCTGTGTGAAATAATCCTACACATGTACGGACGATAGTTTTACATGATGAAAGGCAAGTTGCAGGTAGAGGCTGCTTCACAGCAACACACACACACACTCCTCAAAAAAGCATACATTAATTGTTTGTTTGATTGTTTGCAAAGGGCTACTCTGCATAGGAGTAAAGGAAAAGTTTTCTGCACACAGAGTTTCCGCCCTTCTCATGATCTGTGCCATTCTCCCTAGTGGGCCTCTGAATGTATGGCCTTCCTGTCTCTGACAGTTCCGTTTCTCCTGAATATGCCAACCTGAATGGAACACCAGAAACCGGGGACAGCTTTCCAGATGATCATTTCTTATTCATCACGGGCTCACTCATCAACAGTTCTGATAATCAATATGTTTCTCTTCCTTAATTTATAACTACAGTGGTACCTCGGGTTACATACACTTCAGGTTACATACGCTTCAGGTTACAGACTCCACCAACCCAGAAATAATGCTTCAGGTTAAGAACTTTGCTTCAGGATGAGAACAGAAATCATGCTCCAGTGGCGCGGTGGCAGCAGGAGGCCCCATTAGCTAAAGTGGTGCTTCAGGTAAAGAACAGTTTCAGGTTAAGAATGGACCTCTGGAACGAATTAAGTACTTAACCCGAGGTACCACTGTAGTATCTTGTAAACTTTGGCTCAACCTTGCATTTGGCACTGCCTAGCAAAGTGCTCAGCCAGCCCAGCTTCATGAAGCCTCATAGTTTAGGGGAGTTAGAACAATAAAACAATGAGATAAAACAATAAATTAAAACAACAAAATGAAGCACTAAAAGGAGTTAAGAAATAAAATGGAAGAGAGGATAAAAACAAATGCTAAGGGTTGGTTATAGAGCAGAAACTTGCCTTAGAGTTGGCGTTAGAACTCAAAACCCTGCTTCAAGCATTCAGCAGCCATTCCCTGCTCAATAAACATGACTAAAAAAAGATAGCATTCTAACAGTGAATGGTTACTTGTGTAAGATCTCTTTTTGCACTGAAACAAGTTAAATGTGATGGCACCAGGGAATGCTAATTCCTTTACCTGCACATTCTCCCCAACTATGTTACTCCTAGTGCGGGTTGGTACAGCTTTGAAGACTGCAGCCACGATAAAAAATAGCTCCATGAATACATTACATAGTTGCTAATATTTAATTTAAGGCAGGGCTGCCTTCAGATACTTCGCTGTTTGACATGAAAGACAAGGCAGTTCTTCCCCAGCCCACTCTGTGTTTCACATACAGAAGCCAACTAGGCTGGCAGTTGTGTTTTACATTAACACTGGTGCCAGGACAGTGCCCTCTACTGCAGCTTAGGGGAAGCATCTCCTTGCTGCCACTCTCCACCTCCAAGCATCCGTGGTCTGAGGCATCTGCTTCACTCTGCCTAATGGTAGAGCTGGTTCTGAAGTTAGGGTATTTATATATTTTCCTTCATGGTCTTAATTACGACTTAGATACTGTATTTTTGTTTGGTGCCTTGAGTAATATTTCTTTTTAGAAAGGCGGGACAGGAGGTCAGGCAGGAATATTGGGTTTCTATTCTAGGGTGATTGCATTTTCTTATTACTCAGAAATAAGACAGCAGAACCAAAGCCCTCTCGTTCCCCTTTGCTTCAGCAAAAAGTCTGGGAATGCTGGCACTTATTTTCCTTCCCGTTGACATAAAACAGTTTCTTGGCCAATTTGCAGAGTGTCCTCTTTCCTAGACTTCTGAGAAGGAAGTGGTAGTTGCTGGTGAGTCCTTTAGCATTTCAGGATGGTGTTAAGAACTGGAGCTGGTCTATAGACATCGTCCAGCAGAGAAACTGGCAAAATGTGCATTTAGACGTCTCCTGTGTGTTTCATTCCATGGCCTGTAGATGGCAGCAACATGACAGGTACCTGAACTCTAACCACCAGCCTAACTTAAAAGCAAAGGCTCCCTCTGACGTCAGTGATAAGACAATTATTGCAACACTCTGCAAACGAGATAAAGTCCGGCACTGTACAAGCTCTGAATTATGCATGCTTTTTGCTGCCATTGTGATTTATACAGAACTCCCATTGTATCATCACAAAATAAACGAATGACATTTCATTACTAAGGATATGTGGGATTTTCCCATAGGCAAGATGAGCAGGAGACACTCCTAGGAAGAAATTAGTTGATGGATGGCCAGGGAAAGAATTTTGCGGCAGGGAACAGGAGCAGAAGGGACAAGGGCAAAGGGTAGTGCAAAGAATCCTGACTTGGAAACTTGGCCAAAGAGAGGTAATGTATTGAGAGGAGAGGGATTGGAAGATCTTGGCATGGTCCTCTCTAGAGATGGAAATTTATATGAATAGCTCTCGGATGGTTAGAGGAAAGGACAGAAGACCAGGAAGATGTCATATACCAACATGTTTTGCACTAGCCCAGGGGTCAGCAAATTTTTTCAGCAGGGGGCCGGTCCACTGTCCCTCAGACTTTGTGGGGGGCCGGACTATATTTTGAAAAAAATAATGAACAAATTCCTATGCCCCACAAATAACCCAGAGATGCATTTTAAATAAAAGGACACATTCTACTCATGTAAAAACATGCTGATTCCCGAACCATCCGCGGGCCGGATTTAGAAGGCGTTTGGGCTGGATCCGACCCCCAGGCCTTAGATTGCCTACCCATGCACTAGCCCAACACTGATTTCAAAAGCTGTAACTTGGGAGTGCTGCTAAAGAAAGTTATTTATTTTATGAAAAAGCGGTTCAATCCCATCCATCTGTTTCCAAAGTTGAGAAGTGATGGTTGGTGTCCATTGGGACTTCTAGGGCAGAATGCAGGAAAACCATCAGTAGATGGAGTCAGAACCCCAAGACAGGTGGGGCTAATAATTCTAGCTTTGTCCATTTCTTCCTTCCTGTTGAGCTCTACCAGGGCAACACAGATGAAGGAAAAGGGAGCTGACAAGCAGCTCCACTCCCTGGAGTGGTTATAAGTAAGAAAGGCAGTGTGTTGCAGGTGGAAAAAGAAAAAAGGCAAATTCCATGCTAGGGATCATTAGGAAAGGAACCAAAAATAAAACTGCCAGTATCATAATGCAGCTATACAAATTTATGGTGGAGCAGAGTTTAGAATCCTGTGTATAGTTCTGGTTGCCTCACCTCAAAAAGGATATGGTAGAGTTGGGCAAGTTTTACAAAAGTGCAACCAAAATGATCAGGAGAATTGAGTGATTCTCCTATTAGGAAAAGTTGCAGCATTCGGGACTTTTTAGCTTAGAAGAAAGGTGAGGAAGAGGGGGCATGATAGAATTTTGTACTGAAATTGGAATACTGTGTATAGTTCTGGTTGCCTCTTCTGGAATTACCGGTAGCTCTGCAAGACTTGAAAGACACACTTAGACAAATCCATAGAGGACAGGTCTATCTATCAGTAGTGGCAAAACCAGAATATTTGCATTCAGAACAAAAGCAACAGACCTTGGAGCACCAGTATTGGGGCAATCAACAAAAGGAAGGAGCATCACTTTAATTCCCTGCTATGAGATGAAAGAGGCATTGGTAAAGTTCCATGAGCATAGGATGGTAGGAAGCTGCCTTGAACCAAATCAGACCTCTTGGGTCCATCTAATACACTTGGAGATGCCAGGAATTGAACTTGGGACCTTCAAGGCAGATGCTCCACCACTGAGCTACAACCAAGCAGGGAAGAGTAGGTAGATGCACAAGCAGAAAGTGCTAGTCTTGAAAATAGCACTAATCTTTTTTTATAAAAAAAAAGTAGTATAAACACCAACAGCTGGGAAACACTGTCCTGAGAGCGCTCCAATTGGAGAACAGCCTTTACCAAAGGTGTCATGGGCTTTGGAGACACTCGAACTCAGGACGAAAGGACACACTAAGAGGAAGGCACACTTTGCAAACCCTCACTGTGATCAACTCCTGCCCAGAAACCTATGTCCCCACTGTGGAAGGATGTGTGGATCCACAACTGGCCTCCACAGTCACCTATGGACCCACTCTTAAGCCATGTTTATGGAATACAATCTTACTCGGCTACGAGTAATCGCAGAAGAAGAAGAAGAAGAAGAAGAAGAAGAAGAAGAAGAAGAAGAAGAAGTTGTTTCTCTAGATGCAAATGGAGTTCCCTTGGGGCCTTTTACCCAGCTGCAAACATTCTTTAACTCCTGTCTCCTAAATGGGATACATTCCAGCTGCCTATTGTTCATCTCCAGGCTCCAGGTGTGAGGTAACTAGAAGACACTGTACATCTGAAGGGGGCAAAATAATTTCCTTGCCTTCTACTTTAAAAAATGCAGGGCACGAAACTGTAAATTCTGAAGAGCATACAGCTCTTACGTTTGGAAAAGTGAATTACTGCAAAGCTGTTAAACGAACTGGGTGAAGTTAGCTAGAGTGAAGGAAGGAAGGAAGGAAGGAAGGAAGGAGAGTGCAAGATAAAATATCAGTTGCACTAACATTTCTTCTGTAAAATAACTGCAAAGGATCCATCTGGGACCAGAACATCAGAAACAACTTATTGCATGCATGTGGTGAAATGTTGACAGTGATCCATCATACAATATCAAATCGCATTCTCAGGATGATCAAACAAAAATGTTTTGTTTGTTTTTGAGCTTAATCCTTCTTACGCTTTATTTATGGAAGGATTAAGAATGAATGGTCATTTGCCTTCCGGTATTTGTCTCCGGATTTGCTGCTACTTATCCATGTTAATTGGAATATGGAAATCGGAGGTTGCCTGAAAAGAGTAAATAGTGTCATTTCTTGCCAGCAGCATAGTCGTAATAGTCTGCCACAGTGAAGACAACAACAAAAAGCATGGTGGCACTTTAAAGACTAACAGATTTATTGTGGCGGCTGCTCTTGTGGATTGGAGCCCACTTCATTGTGATCTCCTCTCTTGGCAGTTACATGAGCAGAGACAGACAAAAAAATGGGACCGAAATGGCAATGAAATGCTGAAAGTAAAGTCTGTCACAATCCTATGAAAAGTGAATAAGGTTTACATGAAATTGTCACAGATTCTGCTTTTTGCATATCATTGCCTTTTGTCCCTATTTCTTCCCTCTCTACAGTTTCATGGGTAAACATATACCTGCTAGCTGAGGATTGACACTTCATACTTCTGATGAACTGGGCTCAAGTTCGCAAAAGCTTACACCACAATCAATCCGTTTGTCTTTAAGGTACATAAGACTCTTTAGCTGTTGACCTTTATTTGCGTAATGGTTAACTGTACTTGTGTGGCTCTGATGAGGATGGCAAAGTGCAGCAGGAAGAACTGATAGAATAAATAGAACATTTCCTCCAAATGCCCTCTTTCAGCCCCAACAATTGTAATATTGTGGTGGCATTCAGTGGTGGAGGAAGTGGGGTGCGGGGTGTGTGATCTGCCCTGAGTGTCATCACTGAGGGGGGTGACAAAAATATGAGTTTTTTTGTTTTTTTAAAGGGCTCACGAAACTTTTTAGTTCAGTCAAGAAATGTAACAAAACACAGCTGGCACTGGGCACCACACCACGGGGACCGGCACTTACGATGGGGCCTGCAGTATCCCTGAGACACACGTCTCTCCTGGACACCTGAGCCACACCGGGCACCTGAGCAGCTAGCCACACCGCTCGTGGCATTATCGCTATTGAAAGCAGGTCTGATGCTCTCCCCTCGAGTATGATTTGTAGAGGGCAGTAACACCAGACAGAGATGTTTTGCAAGAGCTGACTGTGATCCAAGGGGCTGAAGAGAGGAGGCACAAGTAGCCAGGACAAGCTGAGCACCCCAGTAGCATCACACAAAAGCTGCTATTTCTCCCCACCTGCTCCTGTTCTTCACTTTTCCTTTTTAACAGGTCATGAGGGCTACCACATCAGGGCCAGGAGCAAGTCTCCACTGTGCCTCATTCCCAAAGGAAAGACAAACACTGGGGAAGGGCCTGGAACCCTTGGAATTTCACACCGCTTGGAGTTTGGGGTGGTGTGCAACAGTATTTAAGTTTGGGGTGGAAGTGTGGCCACCCATTGGTCCTACAATCCAGCTCAGAGCTTAAGCCCAGGGAGGGGCACCAGCTACCTAGCCTCCAGAAATGTGTGCGCGCATGCTAAATGCACCTCAAGAGCTACTGTAAGTTTGTGCTTTCTCAATACAGAATCAAACTACCAGCTGCTTGTGCTCCTTGGGTTATGCTCAGGACAACAGTGTAATGTGGGGAATAGGTCTCACATTTTTGTCCACCTACACATCGGTGCCCAGTTTGCGTAGTGAGTTCTGAACAATTGAGAAGCTGTGTTCATAAGCATCTCCTCAATAAGAGAAAGTTCAGCCCGTGCCAAGAGAAACAGATGAATCTCTGGATGAGGACTCTTCTTATAGTCAGTGGCAACAACAGTGGCATGAATCAACAGCATCTTGCTTTTTTGCTTTCATTCTTGTAGCCTTTTCAACTCCCAATCCTATGAGTTGCTGTGCAAGGAAATGGTAAAGAGAAACAGGCACGAGATTCATTTTGCTAGTGTCATGTTGCATCGATGCAACAGTAGGGGGTGCTGCTAGACTGAGAGCACCCATCGCTGCCAGATTTGTGGGGCAAGCCTATGCATCTTTACTTAGAAGTAAATCCCACTATATTCAATAGACCCTACTCATAGGTGTGTTTGGGGCTGCAGCCTTAAGTCATGCAAGAAGCCTCTCCCAGAGCTATCGGGATTGAATGTGGGACTTTCTGCATGCAGACTTATTTATACTATGACGATATGGTGATAATATATTGGAATGGAAATGCAACAGATCATACCAGAACAGGACAGGCTGCCCTATTGTACCTTGCACAAGATGCTGTGGTAGTTTTTCAGCTAAAGCTGTGAGGAGCAGTTGAACTGAGATTCCAGGGACAAAGTAGAGAACATCATAGTCCTGCTGAATGAGGAGACCCAGGAATCATGTTGACCAGCACTCTGTTCTCTCAGTGGCCAGCCAGATGATCATGGGAAGCCTGCAAGTGGAACTTGAATGCCACAGCACAGCATAGCATACTGCCTCTGAAAATGCTGCAGTTATGCATGTGGGCTTTGTGAACATTTAGGGCTTGAGAACTCTTACATCAGTAAATCACCCAATGCAATACTGCCTCCATATGAATAATTGCAGTAATTTATTATCAAGGAATGAAAGAAAATCTGTTACATGGGGTGAGAGATTGATCAAGATAAATGAGTCCCTAAAGAACAAGCACAGCAGTATTTATTACTATATGGCTCTGTTTATATGGCTATTCCTATGATGCAAAGCTACTGAATTATTTGTTGGATATGAAAAAGCTGTCAAGGGGCCAAAGGAAATAGGGAAATAACGAGGGCCAATATTTGTGCTGTGTGTAGGGAGATAAACAGTCAGCTCAGTAAGGATTCCAAAAAGGCGGCTGCACCTTTGTCCTTAGGGAATGAAGTAACTTGAAAGGAGCATATAGTGGCCAAGCAATGTAATGAGCATGTAATGTGCTTGTAACCCAAGTAATATGTAGGGTACTAGGGGCTATGACCCTGCTCACTCCACTCACCAAACCCTTGCCATCCTGTTTCCCCCACACAAGCTTTCCCTTCCCACCCCATGCTTGTTTCTCACCCCTCTCTCCCCATTTCAGAAGCCACTTCTCTCATCTGTTCTGCACCCCCGCTTTGCACAATCCTTCACCTTCACCCCCATCTTCACGCCTCCCCCTCCATCTTTGGGGAAAGCCCCCTGCACACAAGCCACCCCCATGGTAACTGACTGCATCCTCCTCCTCTTCCCATACATTGCACCTGCTAAGCACTCTTTTCACCTTCTGCACAGTTATGAAACCACCAGCCGCTCCGTGGTGCTGGTAACATGAAGGTTGCGGGTTCGATCCTGTATGGGACATCTGCATATTGGACTAGATGATCCTCAGGGTCCCTTCCAACTCTACACTTCGATGATCTAGGACCCTTTCACAATCCTGCTTTCATATTGAACTCCATTCCCATGCCTCCTGCTCCCTTCTTTTTTGCAACCCCCCCCCCCATTGTCACCTTCTCTTCCTTTTTCCCTCCATTCTCCTCACTTTCCTCAACTTTCCCTGGCACACAGATCACCCCCATTTCTATGCCTTGTCACCTCTCCTGTTATGCAGCCCCCTTTTGCTGATGCTTCTATATCTATAAGATGATCGACTCAAAATTTCTGTCATTTTAATGTGTTTTCTTCCTTTCGGTGTCTCTCCCTTCTTGCGCTTCTCCCTCTTCCATTCCTTAGCTGTCTTGTGCGAGAGACATAGATGAAAAGCCCTAAAATATCATTTTTTATTCAAACCTTTGCATTTTTAAAAAATCTGCCACTTTTTTCTGAGTTCCCTCAATCCTTCCTCAACCTGCGTTGTTTTACACCACTTTCTCACTCTCAGTCTCTCTCCTTTTCACTCCCATTCCATGACCACTGGGATTATGTGACCTGCTTTCTCTTTTGCTCCCTCCCCTGACTTTGTGCAAATCCAGGATTGTGATGCGCCCCCACAAATCCTTCAGTGGGGGCTGGGTGATGACAGCTGTACATTTTTACGTGCAGTATACAGTGTACATACACTGCGGACAGACTCCTGTCCATAATGCTCATTCATTTATTCCCATTTTAACTGGAACAAAGTCTAGTTCGCAGCACTTTGCTTTTACCAACCCCTGCACAATGCATGATGGACCCTCTGGCTGTATTTGTGTTCATGAATATTTACTATGGTAACTCAAAGATGCTATCAAGCCCAAGAATGTTCATGGGCAAAGGCAAAGCCCTTAGATCTCATCTGCACAAAGGTACCAGGAAAGACAAGCACAGAGTAAACCCTTGTGGCTATTTATTCTCCTAGAGCTTTGTTTGAATGAAAACTATTACCCACCCCCAGGGCAACTACTTCCTGTCCTCAGGTACATTTTCTGAAGGCTGTGCACGTATTATTCAGGATATAATGTATCTTCAAGTTGTTCATCTACTCCATTGTAGGGACACGGTGAAATCAACCAACCTTATCTACTGAATGAACGCTGTTCCATTCATTTAAGCGAAATTTGCTTGTAGGAAGGCTCACAGCTTAGCGTTAGAGCAAAAGCATCTCAGGTTCAATCACCTGGATCTCCAATGTCCCCTCTCTGAAACCCTGGAGAGTAAGAGCCAGTCAGTGGTTGGTCCATAAACTAGAAGGAATGACTTGGTACAAGACAGCGTTCTGTGTTCCTATGATTCATTCCTGCAAACTGCATTTTAATAAACAGATTGTGCGAAAGCAGTACCTGGTGGTGATTTGCCCTTGAAACTTGGGTTCATAGACATGGGTTTACCTCTCTGAGTTTGTGAATTATAGTTTGTGAATTATAGTTAGTTCCTGCCGAGAATAAAGAGTCTGTATGAATGGGTAATTCAACCCAGCGAAGTTTACATTCATACTTCATTAAAAAGTCAGCACAGCACAAAACAAAACAAAAAAGGTGAATTCTGTTTATTACAACAATATGTAACTGTGTAACATAAAGGTGGCAAATGAAAAATGAAATAGTAGAGCCAGGAGACAGCATGCGAGACACAAACATTAATAGCTTGTTCAGATCATGCTTCTAATCCAATCCTAAACACACCTTGGTGGAGGTAAATACCACTGAAATTATGAATGAATTGCTGAAACTGAGATTGACCTTGTGCTGATCAGTCTATCAGCTACTTCTGCTAGCAAAAGTATCACATATGGGAATTAGTGGATAATGGATAATCAATTGCATATTTATTTATTTATTTATTTATTTATTTATTTGTGGAAGATTTATATTACAACTACTATCTCTATTGCGGATTACAAAAAAATGCAAATTTAATAGATTTATACGATCTGAAGGGAAACCAGAGTATGAATTTATTAGATTAAATGTAACATACAAATGCAAAAGCAATTCAGAAAAGCAGCAGCATCACAACAGAAAACCATCCATTATTAAAACATGGCAGTTGCTTCAGTGAGCAGAAGTTTTCGCCTGGCACCTAAAAGATATTATAGGATCTGGGTGAACATATTTCAGGAAGGCATTGCACAATCAGGACATCACAATAGCAAAGAGCCTGTCTGAACCACACCAAAGCCCTACTTAGTCTATGATCCTGCTTCCCACAGTGGCCAACCAGAGGCCTATGGGCAACTCAGGCAGAAGACATGAGCGCCACACTCTTCCAATTCAGAGGCAAGCTGCTTCTAATGCTGGCGGTAGCATACATGCATCATTATGAGTGTATAGCAGAGTTACCTTGATCTCTCAAATATGGTGGAACCTGGAACGCAGTCTCCAAAGATTTTCACATACGGGTATTTAATTTTTGTTAACTTGTTGTGTGCATATTTGTGCTGCAGTTGTGACTTTCCAATTGTGCACTAAGGTCGCTGCTGCATTCTGAATGGAAGCATGGAAGTGTGAGAGAATGCAAGGACTTGGTTAATTAGTAATAATCTTTGAAGCATTTTCTGATAATCCTCAAAGAGCCCTAAGAAGTGCCTCTCTTTCTTCCAAGCAAGTCTCACTTGGCTCGTTTTTTGCTATTAGGAGGGATAAATAAATTATATAATCACACTTTCCTTTCCAGAGACAACGGCCTAATGGCCCTTTATTTCAGTCTGCAGCGCAGATATAAACCATGAGGTTATGCCAACGTTCGGTTTTATTATGTAAGTCTGTCGGGCCCTTTACCAACAAGGACTATTAACTGCATGTCCTTTTCCACATTACTTACATGGGAAAGGATACTGCTAGATTCTTCTGAAGCTCATAAGACTATTCTAAAATTGCTGACATATCAACTGAGTCATGAAAATACACAAGCCCATGACTTACTTAATTTGAAGCAGTCACTAACTTGGTGACAATTTATACTACTCACAGAGTAAATTTCCTCCTGTGAAGAGTTTGCAGAGCCTGTTGCTCACTTATCTTTATGATTTGCGGCAATGAGGTACAAAGGTAAAGGCAAGGTGCTACTCATACACCCATATTCTTTTGTTCTACCATAGTTTTATTTGAATCTTTTCATCTAAACTTTACAGCACTGGAACACTTTACGGTTTATTCATTTGGGATGAGGTAGTGGCTCTGTTAAGGGACAAACTACATGATATCTCCAAAGGCATACTAGGAGGCCTGGCAGCCTTTAACTGGAAAAAAAGCGGATTCTGGAAGTTGGAGGAGTTTATACAAATGTGTGTGTATCCTGCTGCATTTCATATGTTGCGCTTTTAAAGCTATTTTTAAAAAACAAAACAAAACAAAAACAGGGCTTTCTTACGCAGTCCTATATACAGTTTGCCCCTAAGTTCACAATCAAATTTAATTGGGATGTGTTTGTTTGTTAATCCTTTTGGTTATAAAATCTAACTTAAGTCCATTAGAAATTCAGATGTGCATACGAAACTGCACATAAAAGTAAAAAAGATAGTAACACACACACAATGAAAATAGAAAGATTTCTGTGCTAATGGAAAACGTGGCTGGGAAGGGATGAAGCAGCTTTTTGCAACTTCCCAACCTCCAGATGTTTTGGACTACAACTCCCATCAACCCCTGCCAGGATTCAGTAACTTTGTCTACTAGCAGTGGAAGTTCCTGGAGATTTATTCTACTGGCAAACTCTCTACCCACCTTCAAGGAGGCAAACAGCCGTCGCCAGGGGGGGTGTCAATGAATAACGCTGGAAGTTTTGTTTCTTTCTTACTTTGTATTGTTGGCATCTCTCTCATGCTCCAGCTAATAAGTAGGGCATCCTCAGGAGGGCTAGCAATGACACTTTGGGGGACGGGAAGAGGACAAGCTGTCACCGATTCCCCCCTTCTAACAAGACTCCTTTTTTAAAAAAAATAGTCTAATAATTTTTTTTAAAAAAAGTTTCGCTTTCAATGAATTTTTGAAAACGAACGCAAGGCGAAATCAGTGCATCAGGTGGGCCGCCTCCTGCCAGAGGCTTCAGCCACCGACTCCCACTTCTGTACTTCTAAACGTGCAGCCTCCCCTTTCGATCTGCAAGCAGACCGTCGGAAGGCGACCGGGGGGCGGGATCACTGGTTCCTGATCTCGAGTCCCGACAAACAGGGTCGTTGAAGGGCACAAGCGAAGGAAGCGATGCCCCGAAGCGTCCCTGTCTCACCCCGCCCTCCAAGGCAACTTCAGGGCGCCGACTCTCCGCGGGGTCCCTCCGGGGCAGCCCGGCGACCCTACGCCCCCTCGCCCCCGTCTCGGGATTCGCCGCGTCTCCTCACACACCAGGCCGCCTCCGCGCGCCCCCTTTCCTTCCTTTTCCGTCCGCCTGGTTCCCCGCAGCGCGCGCGCGCGAACGCGTCCCAAGGTCAGCCCCGCGAGGGCTCTTTTTTCCCGCCTCCGAAGAATGGAGCTCCAGCGCGTGTGGGACGCGGAGTTGCGTGGCAGGGAGTCGCCGCGGCGGCGGCGGCGGCCCAGAGCCAGGCGGAAGGCCGCGGTCCGAAGCAGGCGCGCGAGACCCCGCCACCCACCCACACCCCGCCACCCTCAAGCCCCACACAGCCTTCCTCTTGCCCCGCGAGCGCCCACCCGCTCCTCCACTGCGGGCCTGAGGCGACCCTCGTTTGCGCAGCGCCGGCAGCTCCCGCCTGTGCCAGGCTCCGGCTTGGTGTGACGCGGCGCGGTGGCGGCGCCTGCCGCTACAGTGACGGAACAGGAGCCCCGGCGACCAGAGCGGCAGAGGCGGCGGCGGCGGCTCCTCCCGGGACCGTGTGAGGAGGCAACCGCGCGCGGCGCTTGCCTGGCAGCCGGCCACCTTCTCTCCCCACCCCCCGGCGGCTCTCGGAGCGCGCGCTCCGCTGGGAGCCGCCTCCTCCTCCTCCTGCTCGTGCTCCTCCCTCGCTCACCTCAGCAATGTCCGAGAGGGGCATGGAGTTGGCCGGAGCCTATAAAAGCCCCTGACAAGAACCCCAGCGCCACCGCCAGCCCCGGCAAGCGAGAGCAAGGCGGCACACAGCGCGCGAGCGGCAGCAGAAGCACGAGCCACAGCAGACGACGACCAGGAGGAGGAACCCGGGCGCCGCTGAGCCATCACCATCACCATGTCTTGGGGTTACGGCAAGGACAACGGTGAGTCCCTCGCCACCAAGGAGGGTCGCCTTCCCCCACCTGACGCGGCGACCCCGCGGCTGCTCCTGCTTGTTCCCCTGGCATTCGTGGCGAGTCCGGCGCGGCACCTGCTGCTGCCGTGCACGGACATCCCGAAGGGGAGCGCACTCCGCAGCCGCTCGGCGCTACCTGAGGCGGCTCTGCGGGGCTGCGGTTCCAGCCCGGGAAGGAGCTTTCAGGACAGAGCCGGTGTTTTGTTTTTTCAGGTTTCCCAGGCGAAACGGAGAGACTCCTTAGTCCGGCTCAGAAAGGGGCGCAACTCAGCGGCTGCGATCCATTCATGGATCCGCAGTTAGAGGTGCGGTCTTTGCTCCCATCAAAGGACGGCTCGTCCAGGCAGAGTTCCCAGCAGCAGGACATCTCTGGCTGAGGAAATGGGGAAGGCGAGGACCTCTAGGGGTCCCACCACAGGTGTTCGAGATGGAAGTGATGGGGAGCTCTCGGCAGACTCTTCTGACCTGCACTTCCACGGCCACCTGGCTCTTCCTAGGACTGTCAAACCCCGTGTAGTGCGCCTAAGGTCCACTCTTCCATCTTCCGCGCAGGGAGCCTGCCTGAAACTTCCTGCGCACATATGCTTTTTGCAATATGCAAGAGGGACAGGAACTCCTTTCCCTTACTTCCAATCCCCACCTGATTATTGGGGGCAATTTCACAAGTGTGACATAGGAACTTGGCTCCCCATGAATTAGGAGAGATGGTAATCTGCATCTTAAGTGTGAGTGGTTGGCATAGGTCCTCCACCCCCCCCTTCCATTCTTCCCCACATTTGGGAAATTGGATTGTGTGAGATGGGACCCTGCCGCAACTGTGTGGTGGGGATTTTGCCAGTCCAGTTCATTGCTTTGCAAAGCTGCAGAGGTGCTGCTTGTCATGCCCACGGAGCAATGTGATTGCCAGGTGCTATAGCCACAAACTCGTTTTCTTCAACCTGGAAATACAAAGAGGTTGCTGCATTCCTTTCAGATCCCTCTCTGCCAGTTATTCCCTTCCTCCCCCACACCAATTCCTAGATCCAGGCAAGCTTAGATCCAGGCTTGCAAAACCTCCCTCATCCCACCAATTGCTCCGCAGCATGATCTGTCTCTGCCTGGTAGCTAAGGCTTCCAGTTCCAGCTGGCCAAGAGATCATTTCATTCCTGCATTCAATATTGATGAGGCAAATGTTAAAGCCTCCCAGCTGCACTTAAGGCATTAAACCCTCCATTGAGTTTTTCTCCTTTAAAAAAAATAAAAATCAGCCATGGCTCTGTAGACTGCGGGTGTTTTACTCTTGTGCTTTCTTCTCTCTGTCTCTCTTTCTAGGACCTGCTCACTGGCATGAGAACTTCCCCATTGCCAATGGAGAGCGGCAGTCCCCAATCAACATCCAACCGAAGTCTGCCAAGTATGATGCCTCCTTGAAGTCCCTGAATATCAGTTATGACCCATCTGCAGCCAAAAACATAGTGAACAATGGGCATTCCTTCAACGTGGAGTTTGATGACTCTGGTGACAAATGCGGTTAGTACTTGATCACTTTGGGGGGCTTTTTAGACTTGAGGCTTTGCTAGAGAGGTAAGAAAGCAAAGGAATGGACGGGACCCATGTTATCAAAGTTAGTTGATGTTAACTTTGCACAAGGGGGTGTTTTGCTACCTTTGTGATGCAAGTTAGTTTCCCAAATGAGTCTTAACAGTGCAATCCTATACATGTACTCAAAAGAAAGTGTAGCTGTGTTCAGCAAGGCTTTACTCCCTAGTAAGCCTGTGTGGAATTGTAGCCTAAAACATCAGAACAAAACCTCACATCATTCAGCAAGAGGAATATCTCTTGTCCCTTTTAGCAGCTATGGAGTATTTACCATGCATCTGCTTCCTTTTTATCAGTCCCGTTTTTCTTCCTTGCAAGGCAAATAGGAGTTAATTTGACAGACACAATTTCAGGGCAGGCGTGCATGTTCTGATAACAATTTAGATTGGTGTGTGCTCACCTCTGTTTCAAACAACATTAATACATAAAGGACCTTTGCAATGCAGTAGCACCCGTCCTGTGGAGTGCTGATGTGCAAAATATTTTCTAGGTACAAATCTTTTGAATTGGAATAACGGGCAGTTCTTTAAGACAAGGGGTATCTGATATTCAGGGCTGGGTGGTGGTATGCCAGAGCTGTCCTTGGGGAGTTGACTGCGAATTACCTCCTAAAAGGATTTCCCTCTCATTTTAGCATTTTTTTCAATAGAAGCTGCAGTACATTCTTCCCACATCCCCACACAGTTCACTGGGGGCTAGTTAGTCATCCTTTTCAGCACCATCCTCTGTGCAGAGTCACGCCAAATTAAAAAACACACAGAAAAAACTCATTTTGTAAGTCCCTATTCTAAAGATAATTCTGTGATCATATGGACAATGCTGATGTTCCGAGCTTATGAGTAAGAGTGTGCATGCTTGGTTTTTAGTAATTTCTCCATCAGCTGCCTGTGCAGCAATTTTCACCTGCCTACAGTGACTGTGAATGAGCTTTTAAATGTAGGAAATGGTACTGCCGTAAAGACAGAAGCTGCTTGTTTCACTAGGCACTGGCTCCTTTAACTTGCTTGAGCAAGTGTCCTATTTTTTCCCACGTTGGCAGTGTCATTGAGGGGACAAATTCAAAGAGCCCAGAGCAGCTTTGACTTGTGAGCTTTCCAAACAGTATTGCAAGCAACCATGTCACAGGCTGCAATCCAAGGCCTACTTCCTTTGATTTTTAATAGGACAACTCTGGGGGTAAAATGGCTGGTGGACTAGAGCCAGCGCATGTACTTAAATCTGCAATACTCCATTTTACTATCACTATTTACTGGAGGGGGAAGAAAGAGCCGAAGTAAATGTCAAACGAAATGCAGAATATCTTTCCAATAGTTTTCTAGTTCTGTCACACACCACTTCCTTGGTATCCAGTTTCCCGCAACAGACAGCAGTTGTAGCCAAAAGAAGTTAAAGGCACCCAGCGCCTTACACTCGGTGAAGTCCACTATAAAAGTAAATGAAAAACATTTAAAAATAGAGACCTACTAAGTATTGAATTTAATTTTTGCATGGCTCATGCTTTCAATCTTTTTAGACCCATCCAGTTATCTGTCTGTGCACACTAGTTTTGCACACAGAAAGAGGAGTCTTCTCCAAAATCCTATAAGCCAAATTCTGCAATTGTGCAAATTCCATATACTGATCTGGTTGAAAATCTGGGGTTCTCTAGAATGTTACATCTTTGGTTTCAATTATTTTGCACAGTGAGACACAGAGAGAGAGAAAATAAAAGGGTACAATGGGCATATGGGGCTGGGTGATCAAATAATGAGGGCAAGAAATTGAGATCTGTGCTCCATACAGTTGCAATATTCAAAACGGCATTGGTTTCTAAACTTTAACTGTTAAAGTTTAATGGAAAGAGACACCTTTTTCCCACTTAACAGTAGGGTGCATATTAAATTTGTTCCTTAAAGAAAAGAGATGCTAAGATTTTCAAAAATTTTACCAGATCTCTTTGCTAGTGGGCATAGTTGGCAACTCATTGTGACAGTGGTGATGCCACTGCCCACCTCCCCCCCCCCGTTGTTCCACATTTCAGAATCCTTTGCTAGGAGTTTGTATTATTCATTGCTTAGGAGTTTGTATTATTCATTGGGGTTTAGAGTCCCTTTCAAGCTGGAGCAAGGCAGTGGGGGCTGTGAGGACACACAACACCTCCAAATTCCAGGCTTCATACATCTAGCATGATGAAAGGCTTTTCTGTAGCATGTGTTTTTATAAAGTCCTAAGAAGCTGCAAATTGAAGGGATGTGTGGATGTTTTCAGATCCACTGGAAGAGTGGCTTAGCCAGAAAATACGGCACAGACATTGATCATTTTGATTCTGCAGCAGCCAGCAAGCCAGTCTCAGGCAGCTACAGCTTGCAGAGAGTGGGAGGGAGAAGTGGGAGGAGGACAGGGCTAGAGTTGAAATGCTCAAAGCAGCTCATCTGTGGACTGCAAGTACGCGGGTGGCGGGGGGGGGGGAGCCGCGACAGCTATGTAGATTTAGCAGCAGGTGCCTCAGGTTTTCCTCAGGTTTTCAAAAGGCACAATGCATAACCAAATGAACCTGCATGCACACATAATTGTACAGTATTGATTATCTAAATTGAGTCTAAAGCTCAGAAGGGAATCCTTGTGTATTGCATGGTCTCAAACCCAATCCCTGCCATATCCAGTTCAAAGTCAGGTGGCAGGACTGGGAAAGACCTCTGCCTGTAACCTCGCAAGAGCCTCTGCCAGTCAGAGAAGATGAAACTGGGTTAAAGACCTGACTCAGTATAAAGCAGTTTAACAAGTTAATAATCTGTTGTGAAATTAATTAGCCGTCCTGTTTATGTGACACACAAAAATACAACCATCCCGACTGGATTTCCCAAGCTACCTGTTTACAGATTTCTGGCACTGCAAATTTCACTGACTTTCCATTAAAAGCTTAGAGTTGTAGCCAACTAAGTCCTACTCCAAATAGGGCCATTAATTTCAAGCAGTCTAAGTCATGGCTATTGATTTCAGGGGGTCTTCTCTGGGTAGCACTGACATTTGCTATAACCCTCAGTAGAAAAAATAAAGTAAAATTGAAGTCCAGTCATGTCCATGTTCTTGTCAATGCTGTTATGCCTATGTACATTTTTATAGAATAGAGCAGTGTTTCCCAAACTTTGGTCTCCAGATGTATTTGGACTACAGCTCCCATCATCTGTAGCTTGCAGGACCAGCATTCAGGGATGATGGGGATTGTAGTTCCAAAACAGCTGGAGACCCAATTTTGGGAAACACTGGTATAGAGGAAGTCTTAAGGCATAAGCTAATTTGTATCTACACACACTAACCTGTTTACACACACACACACACACACACACACACACACACACCATTTTACAAACTGCTAAAACGCATGCTGTTGAATTACAACTCACATCCTCCTTGACAATTGGCCATGCTGGCTTGGACAGATGAAAGTTGGAGTACATCAACATCTGGAGGGCCATAGGTTCCCCCCTACTGCTGCAAGGTGCACACACCCTGCATATTGAATGGCCTGCTGTATTTTTATTTTGGCCACCAAGCTTAAAATCTGCTGTTTAAAAATCCAGTCACTTCCTTATTGAAACATTTCATGTGCTGCTCCTCTCTGGTGGAAGGGAAATTCTGTGGCTGTTTAATCCTATATGATATTTTGACATTTTATAAAATGTGTTCTCTGGTGGCACATCCTGTTCTATGTTTATCTATTACAGAATCCTCCAAACATGTATTCTGTCAGTTATAAAGCGACTATTCTGTACATGATAGCCACCATTGATCCTAACAGAAAATGGATGTGTAGGAATGCTTTAGGAACCAGACTCTCTGTTGGTGCAATAAGGGAATTCCAGAAAATTAGTTATCGCTGCAGTTCTTATTGCATACACTCATCTGCTCAGTTCTGTTACATTTGATGGGCAGGATTTGGCAGTTGGCCATTTATAGCAAACCCATAACATTTAATGATCACTAGTACAGCTTCGGAAATGCCATAAGTCCTCGGACAGCAGAAAATCAATTCAGCACATACATTTGTTGAAAGGCATTGACAAAAGGGTCCAATTTCCCCCTTGGGATTACGTTTGGGATTTTGATTTGTATGCTGTTTTTGTGAAACATGTTTTCTGCAAACCTAAGCTCCCTTTGTAATCATTTGTGCAGTTTTCTCTGTCCCCACTCCCATGGCTGCAGTTCCTTTGCCTGTATCTGGTGGCTGCACCTTTGCCAAACTAGTAAATGCTCCAAAAGTGCATAAACAATCCCTTGCAAAATGTTCAGACTTCAGACTGTTTTTATAGGCCAGCTACAGGATCCACATCTAAATGTGAGCTCTACAACCCAATCGCAGCCTGATTGCAATGCAGTATTGGGATTTTAGAAGTATGCTGGGACCAGCTTAAAACACAAGTATATTAGCATAACTGGGTTGTTTTAACTGTTGTTTTATGGACCTGCCCCGTATGGACATCAGTAGTAACCACTACATGCAGCAGAAAAGGTTTGCAGAATTAACCTCTTGACATTAGAATGAATAAGCTTTCCTCTTGGCTCAGCACATTTGGTACTGAAGCAGATTTTGCTGAAACAAATACTAGCTAATCACACAGTTCTATCAAAAGGCCCCTATGTGTACAGAAGCAGGAGACACCTGGCTGAGAAAATACCCTTCATCTTTTATATTTAAATTTGTATTTGGCCCTTCATCCAAAAAATCACACAGTGGTTCACAACAGCTAGCAGTCTGGGTGACTTGCTTAGTTCTGCCCTCAGTTCAGAGACGCCTGGGGGTTGCTGCAGCAGCCTGTTTGCCCTCTGCTGAATTCACAGAGTCTTGACTTCTCTGTTGGGAGGGATTTCAAGTGCAGGAAAGTGCTCCCTCTCTCCCCCCCGCCTCTGGCTGCTGATCATCTGTTCAGTGGCAGAAATGAGTGGCTTGCTTGCTCATAGATCTCTGAATCCAATTCTGAAACTGTTCTTCCTCTGCAGTCATGTCAAAAAATGTTCATTTACACCACAGGCCTATGCACACTGACATGGGAGTAAATCTAAGTGGGTCTTATTCTGAGTAAACATGCACAGGATTGTCCTGTACATCTGTTGGATCATGCCAGAGCCATTCCAACAAGTAAATCACCCCAAAATTTGTTTACTGGAACATTGCAGTTGGCATCAGTCTCTGAACTGGTGATGCTCAGAAATAAAGGCCTTTCATCAACAATTTAAAGTTTTGGGAGTTTTAAAGCCTGTTGTGAGAAAATATGGAGACCACCGCTATTAGAAAGACACAGCCGAGTGTGGTGACCACCTGAATAATGCAGTTATAGAAAAGGAAGAGGATGTTAGAAAGCAATAATGTAAAGAGAACATTTAAAACCAGTTTGGAACCTTTTGATTAATAAACGGTGAAATCCATAGTAAATTATTTAATTTCTGACCAAGCATGCTTCTGGAAACAAAGAATCGATCACTAGTGAATTTGTTTTAATGTAGCGGCCTAAACCGAGCTAAAGTTGATGACAGTTAATAAAGAACTTATATATGGTTTTTAATAATAAACAAAATAGAAAATAATCTTTCCCTCCTGACATGCCATTTTGCTGAATGTTCTTTGTAGAAAGTCAGTGCTCTTAAAAGCAGGTGAAATACTGAAAGCTATGATTGCACAGTTTCATAGATACAAATTATCTTTCATGGAGGATGAGTAATAAAACATGAAAAGCTGAAAACTCTTTGAAATTGACATGTCTATAATGTAATGCAGTACTGCGATCACAGAATCATAATTCATTTTAAGAGCAAATGGGTGAACTGGCAAACTTGCTTGTTGTTTAGCCAAGGATTAGCACAATATAAAATGTTACATGCCACCCCCAATCTCTGAGCAGTGTGAGATTCCAGAGGTTCCAGTTGTGCTTAACCAGGATTGGTTATCATTGTCTAGCCCACAGCTCAGTTCATCTCATACTTATATGGATTAATTTATTTAACATGTATGTATGTATTGAAGCAGGTTAATTCCTCCCTGTATAATGAATACTGTATTTCAGAACATCTTAAGGGTTTTTTGCTCATCCTGATACAGTTTTATTTGTCCAGTTTTAGTAATTATTCACCATGCTATATTATTTAATCGTTATGCTTAATATTCATAAACGAAGCATATAAGGATTCAGAAAAAAAAGTATGCTATCACTGAAAGACACCTCTTCTAGCTCTAAAGTAGGCAGCTGGAAGCCTTGATACAGGAGAAGTTTTGTTTTGGAGTGATAACTCAAAAAAGTATGAAACAACTCCCAAAATATCCAATGTATGCACACATTCACAATTTGCCAGCAGTTGAGCCTCACCCTGGCTGAACTTTTTGATACAGACTGTGGGTGTCAACCAGAGGGAGGCCACCTTTCTATAAGGACACTTTTCCACCCTGTTTTTCAAATGTCTCATCATGCCATAAATAGTGGCTTCTATTATAGACAACTGCCTCACTGGGGTTGGGGTGGGTGGTTGAGAATCGAGGATCATCAAGAGAAATGGCCCTCTTAAAAAGCAAGAGTTCCCCCAGACTTTTCCCCTCAGTTTCTTAGTCTCAGTATTCCTTAGAATAAATAGACAGCTTTTGCATATTTGTTTTCATTTTTAATGGTATTGAGCAAAATAATAACAACAATAATTCATGCTTTTATATTTTTTATTATTTAAATTTTCTAATTGTTTTGAGCATCATAATAATGCTCTGCTTTTCCATCTGGAAAAACATTTAAATACAAATAAATTTCATACTAAGGCAACATTGAATAATACAGCATTTCCAACACAGAATGTAATTTTAGGCATATTTATTTGGAAGAAGTCCCACTCAGATCAATAGGATTTGCTTCAGAGTTGACCAAGCTGCAGGAGGCAGTGGAAGACAGTAGTGCCTGGCGTGCTCTGGTCCATGGGGTCCCGAAGAGTCGAACACGACTAAACGACTAAACAACAACAACAAATATAATCTGGAGGAGAAGATTAATTTCCCCCCTCTTTCTGTCCTCCTTCCTTTCCCCCTTACCCACCATGTCTAGGAACAACACATACAAGTAGAAATAAAGTAGATGTCCATGAATGTATGTACCTATTTGCGCAATAATAATACTCAAAGATTGCCTCTCCCCATATAAACCGATCCAGATTCTGCATTTATCCTATGAGGCCCATCCTTGTGTGCCTTCTCTACGAGAGGCCCAGATGGTGGCAACATGAGAACAGACCTTTTCTGCAGTGGCTCCCCATTTGTGGAATGCTCTCCCCAGGGAGGTTTGCCTGATGCCTTCATGATACATCTGTAGGCACTAGGTAAAAACGTTCCTCTTCAGCCAGCACTTTAGCTGATTAATATCACACAGCCGTTCAGATATGTTTGTGGGAGGGGAGGTTATTGTTTTGTGAACCACTCTGAGATCTTCAGATGAAGGGAGTTATATAAATAAAATAAATAAAATAATAATATATGTGTAAACTCTTAACAGCTTAATAGGATTATTTCGCACACTCCAAAAATACACTTATGTGTCGGCAAACTACATGTGGGTCATAGGTGGGACACATCTGCCAAGTGCTGTGACTACTTCAGTTTGTGTAGTTTGACAAAATCGCACAGTTTGTTGTGTTTGATGGAGCAAACGTACCTTTTTTGCTACTTTTATTTTTTTTAAGAGTTGGGAAGTCATAAACTTGTTTATATATTCAACACAAAAAGGTTCCTTTTGCTTCATCAACATACATGCAGGTTTGGGGTAAGTGTGTTTGTGTGTGAAGTTAACCAGAAGTGATACCAGTGCAGAACACCAATGCATATGAAGTAACCCTAATTACCTTGTGTCATATGAGGACTTGGGATACCCAGGAATAGCAATGGGTCTTTAAATAGGAGTAGACTTTCTTCAGGGCTTCAAGCTCTCCTGACAAGTTCATTTAGGGCAAGTCCTAATCGCTGACAAACAATCAACACCAAGTATGTGCAAATAAGGCCATTTCAGGAAAGTTGGGTGTGTTGCGCTTTTCTGAAAGTTATCTCCTTTTGCTAAACCTTCTGGTGCTATCAAAAACCCCAGCTGACTTCACCCTGGGACACCCTACAGCTATTTATCAGTGTTTAAAAGCTAAAAAGTTTTTTAGGGTGAAAGAAGGTACTCTCATGACTCTCTAAATGTGTTCTATATACGTGTTCTGAACCAGGACATTTGTGTAGCCATTCAGAATGTGCGACTCAGTTTGTACTCAATCCAGAACCAAGTCAAAAATATATCTAAATATAGAAAGCATGGTTATGAGAGATAATGTTTTAAAAATATGCAGCCTCCCAAAATACGGCATTCTGCTGCTAGATAGTGATTAGAACTTCGCCCCAATTGAACTCGTCAATAATGGCTTGTGGGTTAGTCAGGGACAACATGGCCTAATCCTTTAAAATCCTTATTAGTTTGTCTTATGTCAGCAGTAGTACAGTACATTCAGGCATGAGATTATTTGTCTGGTGGGGGAGGCGGTTCAACCCATACATAATGAACTGTGCATGCATTTTATACTATAGCCCTGTATAGGAATTTAAAAAGGTGTCTTACTGTAAGTCAGACAATTGACCCATCTAGCTTAGTTTAATTTTACCAAACAGAAAAAGGCAAAATATGGCTGATAACCTCTGCAGAGTTAAAACTGTGTGTGCTCATGCTGGGAAAGCTTCATTTTTTATTATTGAAAAAAGCACATTTAAGGGACCTCTCTATCTCTATCCAGGATTTGTATGAGCTTAGTGAAAACAGGGAGGGAGGCCTTCTGTTTCCACTGATTCTTCTTACCAGTGGCAGGTCCAGAGCATCACTGAGCAGGAGGACCCACCCCCAAAAGCAGCAGAACTAACCTCCCATCTAAAAGCAGGGGTGGGGAACCTGTAATCCTCCAGATCTTGTTGGATTCCAGTTTCTATATTCCCTAGCTGCTGGCCATGCTGTCTGGGGCTGATGGATATTGGAGTCCGATAACATTGGGATGGCCAAAGTTTCCCCAGCACTGATCTAAAATGATGGGGAAGGGGAGAGACCCTAGAGATCTCTCAGTCCATAGTCTATAATGGCTTAACTGCACTACTTGCAGGAAGTTCAGTGCATTCACACATACATTATCTGCCTTCTATCCAATCTTAATGTTTCCAAGTCTAATGTTTTGTTATTGTGCCTTTAATATTTCTCATGTAACCCCCCCCCCTTTTATACTGAATTCCACCTTCCTTGGCTTGACTGCTTTCTTTTTAATTGTGGAAATCAAGTTTTATATTATGAGCTGGGTGTATTTTTTATCCTTATTATTCATCTCAGGGGTGATCTGTAGAAGTCATATTGTGTTTTTATACATATTTTTTTTAAATGATGTTGTAGTTTTTATTTCTGTTATGTAAGCTACCTTGAAAGGGCAGCTTAAGTATTTTTAAATCAATAAATTAATAAAATGCTGTAAATATAGCTATTTCTTTCTTTTTTACTTGCAGTGCTGAAAGGTGGTCCAGTTGAGGGAACTTACAAGCTGCTTCAGTTCCACATTCATTGGGGTTCCTGTGAAGGCCAAGGCTCTGAACACACTGTGGATGGGGTGAAATATGATGCCGAAGTAAGGCCCTGTTCTTCCTCTTCTCAGGGCTTCCTTGGGTCATTCCACATCAAGTGAAATTTCAAACCCTCATAACTCACAAACGGGATGAGATTTTTTTTTTTAATGGAATTTTATATTTACACTTAGTTTTGATCATTCAACAGGTGTACAAAATATTAATAAAATTGGATGACATGAGGTACAAAAGTTGGATCACTTGATATGGAATGACCCCCCCCCTTTTTGGGTATCTTTATGTCAGGTATTAGAAAAGATCCTGAAACTGTTGATAAAGCAGGTCTCAAGGATAGACATGGTGGCATCTTCTGATCAAAGAAAAGCTTCTAAGATTTGATGGCAGGTGGGATTATTTAAACATCAAATTTATTGAGTATGTGAACTCCCAACCATTTTGATATGAAGTATATGAAGGTCACCTGGGACAAGGAGCAAGTTCTTTACATGGTGGCTCCAGTCCTTTCATGAGATGTTTTTAATCCAGGCCTTCCTCCAAGAAGCTAAAAGCAGAAGACATATTCCCTGACTCCACCATTTTATCCTCAAAAAACCTGGTAAGGCAGACAGTGACAGGCCCAAGACCTCTCCTTTGAGCTTCATGGCCAATGGGAATTTGAATCCATGTCTCCCTGGTTTTATTCCAGCAATCTAAACCCTACACCACACTGGTTGTCAGTAGTGGTATTATGGCACTCCACCTGTAGAGAAGCTTACCATTGCTTGCCTTTCCTTACTGCTTGGACTCAAGCTACTGAATTACCTACTGACTTAAAAGAAATATATAATAGATCTCAATCAAGCAGGGCTCCTGCTAAAGGCCACAGGGATTTTTCAGAATATGTGCTTCAGGATATGGCAGAATGTTTGCATTTAGGAAATTGTTTGAGTGGGTGTAAAATGCCAGTATGAGAGCACAGCTCTGATATCTATGTTTGCCTTTCTCAGTGAATGAAAAGCGCAAATCAATGGCTGAACAAGTTTTCAGTAGCTTTTTGTCTTGGCCATAAAAGGACGTGTTAATGTTTAGTATAAGAATTATCTTGGTTCTTCAGTTTGAGAGAAGGCCTTTCTGATAGGTCACTTTATTTCTGCATTTTTCTTTGGCTCCAGCTTCATTTGGTGCATTGGAACACAAAGTATGGTAGTTCTGGTGAAGCTGTGAAACATCCCGATGGTCTGGCTGTTGTGGGCGTGTTTTTGAAGGTTAGTACCATTATGTCCTCTTTTGCTATCATTGCTGGCTTTGCAAGAGAACATTTTGTACAATGTGATTTACGCCTCCAGCAGAAGCTGAATTTTCTGTTCACAGGCATTCAAGGTGGCTTTGTGATACTGTTTTCCCTTTATTTTAGTCCTTTGAGAACTGATCAAGTGTTTTTAAAATAATAATAATAATAAAAAAAATCACAGCATCTTAGTGGAAGGGTCCAAAAAGCCACATAAAATCAACCGCCGTCTATGACACAGAACCATTATCTGCTAGCAAACATTACAAATCAGTCAACCCAACCCACCCAAGATAACTTATAGTGCAGAAAGTTGCTTGCAGAGCTAATACGTCCAGGTGACTCATGCAAGTGAGCCAAACCACATGCTGCGTAAATGTCAAGCAGCTTCAGTTTGTACTGATAAGCCTTAAAAAGCTAAAATGATTGGGGCCCAAATATTAAGCATACAGAGCAGTTTCCTACACAGGCTCAGCTTTAACGTTAGGAAGAGTGAAGTGCTGGGGTGCACTGCTCCGCTCATGTGACAAGCCACAGCCACTTCACTGCGGTGTTTGTTTGAGTAGGCAGGAAGTGGGTGCCAAGTGGACCAGTTGAGCAAGTGGCTGTCAGGTGTTGGAAGGCAGAGCTATTTGTGACAGCCAATCATCCCTCACCCTCTAAGCTAGTCTGCTGTCCTCTGGTGTAGCAGAGGATGCGAGTGTTGAACTTTCACTCTAGCTGACCGAATGCTTGGTGCTATTTTGCCTTTGCTTCAGGGAACAAAATGTCTTGACCAGGCTCTGTTCTTATACATTTCGTAGCACATACCTGGTTATAAAATGCACACACGTACTCACACTGAATCAGTTCTACAGGGCGTACATGTGTTTGGTGTTTCCTTCTGGTGGTTCCCTCACTGCGAGAAGTGAGGTTACAGGTAACCAGGCAGAGGGCCTACTTGGTGGTGGCGCCCACCTTGTGGAATGACCTCCCATCAGATGCCAAGGAAATAAACAACTATCTGACTTTTAGAAGATATGTGAAGGCAGCCCTGTTTAGGGAAGTTTTTAATGTTTGATGTTTTATCCTGTTTCAGTATTCTGTTGGGAGCCGTCCAGAGTGGCTGGAGAAACCCAGCCAGATGGGTGGGATGTGAATGAATGAATGAATGAATGAATAAATAAATAAATAAATAAATAAAATGATATTTCTTATCAAAGTGATAGCCAGGATAGTTTTCACCTATTTGAAAGGCAAAGCAGCAAATGATGCTTTACCTTTCACAGCTTGTGGCAGTGTACTTTCATTCTTTATGGTGAACACATTAGGTGTCTGTATGTGAAACAGTGAACCAAGGCACTCTGGCTTGGAGCAAAAATCCAGAGAAATAAATTAGATTTTCCTTCATGTGGATGTATACTTAAGGCATTAGGTTGTAAAATACTCAGCTTTTAAAACAATGCTAACTGATTAGTTCCCTTACCAAATGAAGATAGTGAAAGACAGTTAATTTTTTACTGTGAAAGATGACAGGATAATCGGGATTAACTCTCTCATTAATATGTAACTTTTGAATGCAAGATGACCTTGTTTGGAGCACTGTGTTTGTTTAAAATTCAATCAGTAAATGTAAGAGAGCCTTCTCTGTGGTAGATCCTCGCTCTTGGAATTCCCTCCCCAGGGAGACAACCTTATTATCTTTTAGGTTCCCTTCAAAAATATATATTTCTGTTTCCCCAGGCTTTTAAGAAATGGGAATGTAAGCATTTTTATTTTAGAGCAATTTGATTTTACTGTTTAGATGAATTGTTGATGTTTTAACTTGTTATGTTAGTTTGTATCTTTTATTTTATAATATTGTTAAAATGTACTTTTTTGTTTCTTACTACTCTCTTAGTAACATAAATTTATGCTGGGAATATAAATGTATGCTGAGCTGTGAGGTGTAAATGATATAAATACATATGCATCCGTGCACATAACCTTTTCTTTACGCCTTTTTATATCACAGGTAGGAAGTGCCTGTCCTGGAATACAGAAAGTTGTTGATGCGCTGGACACCATTAAACACAAGGTAAAGCTTCTGCCTTTCTGGCAGCTAAGAATGACTGCACTGCAGTTCCCTGCATTCTTCTTTCAAAGAACAAAATTGCAAGGGAATTCCAAAGGGATTGCTTTTAGCTTCTCATTCCATCTATTCTACCTGGGCAATTATTCTTCAATAATCTTTTGTCAGTAAGAGACCTGCCTTCAAACAGCAAAAAATAAATAAATGCAGCTTTCAAATGCACTTTGGTTTCTTCAGCGTTTTGAAAGATTCTGCTCATTTGGTGCGGGGGGGGGGGGCAGGGGGCTGAAAAGGAAAATGCATCCTCCTCCCCTTGCTCAGTTGCTTTGCATAGTCCCATATTATCACCAGTTGCTCTAAGGAGAGTAGGTTTACCCTCACTTAGATTGCACCACTTTTTAGCATGCAGCTTTTGAATGCAACACCACCTTGTTTGAAGCACTGCCAGACCTCCCTGCATCTCCTCCCCGCCCCCCCTCCAGCCCCGCCCCCGCTCCATCATAGTTATACACTTGTGGAGAGAAATACACTGCTCTCCTTTGCATGCCATGGAATTAAAGGCAAAGTGTGTTTACACATCATCTACTCACTACTGCATCGGACTGTTTTATCAAAGAGCTTTATCTGTTCTAGGGCAAACAGGCTGCCTTCACAAACTTTGATCCAACTGGTCTGCTTCCTGCCTCTCGTGATTTCTGGACCTACCCAGGATCACTGACCACTCCTCCTCTGCTTGAATGTGTGATCTGGATTGTTCTGAAGGAGCCCGTGACTGTCAGCAAGGAACAGGTGAATAAATTCCCCCGCCCCCCTTTTTTTGCTGCAAAAAGCATATTAATCTCTCATATGGCATGGCTATTCTTGCATTTGCATAAACAATTCCCATTCACTTGTGTCTGTTCATAGACATAACACCCTCAATCAGCTAAATGAAAGGAGGGATATTTCCAACCAGCACAACTCGCACTGATTTATAAGTACATTCGCTACATCACACATGAAAGAGCTTCACATATGGATGAGTGCTGCATAATGAAATCCACTCATTGTCCTGGAATTTGGAATTAGATTTGAAGAAGTGAATAAATCACACGCAGGGGACCTGAAAGGTCTCCCTCCGATTTCTCTGCTACAACTGAATACATCCCGTACACATAGAGGTTTAGCAAAGAAGGTCTCTTTTGAAAAGCATATTTCTGGGTGTAGTTGGGTGTATGCGGAAGTATTGTAATGCATGGTTTAAGACACAGAACTATGTTTTGCCCATTTATTCTACTTATAGCCTACCTTTCCTCCAAGGCACTCATGGTTTCTCTTCCTTTTCCATTTAATCATCACAACAACCCTGTGAGGTTGGTTAAGCTGAGAGTGTAAAGATCACCCCAAATTCTGAGAGTTCTAAAGCCTGTGTGGACTTGGATGTGGGAGACCAGAGTTGAATGACCAGTTACTCACTGGGTAACCTTGGGTCAGTCACTGCCTCTCAGCTTAACCTACCTCACAGGGATTAAAATATGGAGGGAGAGAACCACGTACTCCACCTTGAGCTCCTTGGAGAAAAAGGTGGGATATAAACGTGACAGATAAATGAATAAAAATTAATTGGAAGCTGACACCCGCTTCCTCCTTTTCTCTTCTCCAGATGGACAAGCTCCGCTGCCTTTGCTTCAGTTGTGAGGGTGAGTCCCACTGTGCCATGGTGGACAACTGGCGCCCTTGCCAGCCCTTGAAGACCAGGGAAGTTAGAGCCTCATTCCAATAAGCTGTGCCCATTAAACATTGCTGTGTCCTTGAGGGTTGAGTTATTTTCCGCTAAGCACAAATCAAACTACTGCCATATACATGCACTGGCAACATCTCTCTTCTCCCCCAAACCCCAGTGCTTTCTGCCTATCATCTTCTGACGTTTCTAATAATGAAGGCCATAAAGTGTGGTTGTGTTTGCGGCATGTTTGCAGTGTGTATGCCAGGCTAAAGAGGGCAGGGATGGGGAATCATGGTGTGATGCTTGATGAGAATTGCTGTGATTTTTTATTTTTTGGTGCTGAGGCTGTAATAGGAGATCTTCATTTGGCAGCTTGCCAAAGGATAGGATGATAAGCAACAGAAAAAAATAAGCCATTTTTTTAAATTAAAAAATATATAATCTCATGGAACATATGAGGTTAAACGTACTCAGTAACTTGAATCTTTCATGGAAGCACAGGAATGCAATCTAATATGAACATTTTACATCTGATTTAGGAGAATACGTTGTAGCAACATAGGCATTGTAATGCAAAATTAGGATTGAGTTCTTAGCTTTTTAAAAAAGTTTGAAGTGTAAATATTTTAATTGTTTTACATTTTTAGCCATAAATCTGAATCATGTCTTAATGTTAGTGTTATTTTATTTTTTTAATTATAAAAATGTCAACTGAGCTAAATTAAGTACTATTATGTGTAAAAATTGTTGATACCATAGCTATAATACAGAGTATTGTTCCACTGAAAAATAATAATGTCATAATTAAAAAAAAGAAATTAATATTGTATTTTAGATACCTTCGCTAATAAATAAAGAAATATATATATATACTTATGTTTCTGTTCTCAGTCATTTATTACAATGGGAGAAAAAGGGATGCAACATAAATACTCTTGAAATTTCAATCTAGGAAGAAATTACAAGATTTTGGCTTTGAAAAACAACAAGAGTCTTGCAGCACTTTAAATCGAACTTAAGCCGCAATACATTTGTTAGTTTCAGATAGCATCACAAAACTCTTTGCTGGTTTTGTTGCAACGGAAAGTCTATGTCTATTACTTTTGGTACATTCTATTGAACTAAAATGAGTAGTATTTACAAGTACTTAATAGCATATAATTGCAGAGAGTAGCCTTGGTCAAGAGGTCCTTGTCCACAGAAACAAACTGTCAGTAAGTATTTTTGCTGCTGAACAGATATTGGTACCAGTCACCTCCCTCTGCCCTCCTCTAACATTCATCTCATCAAATCCTTCCCTGTACCCTCTTGAACCCATGCCCTTCCAGTTCCTGGTTACCATATCTCCCCATCATTATCCCTCCTCTGCCACATAACTGGTCTTTCTCCTCAGTTTCCCCCTGCATTCAGTGATTTCACTCTCACTTTTCACAAACCCATCCCTTGACCCATCTTCCCTTACAACTATCTCCCCAGCACTCTTGACCCCCAGAGTTCTGAAGCATGCTGCCTACTCCATCAACTCTCCAGACCATCAGAAGCCCCCTCCAACTTTCAACACCCTACAATCTGTTTTGCATCACTTACATGCCAGTGAAACTGCCCTCACAAAAATAACTGATTGCCTCCTCATTGCAAAGTCTGAAGGCCTTGTCCTTCTTGACCTTCCAGCTTCAACTGATAACTTTCTCTTGTGTGCTTAGTTATTTATGAACTTTACAGCCTTATGTGCTGCAGAAGAAATGAGCTTATTTAGGTGTTGACATCTGGACAAAGGTACACAATAACTGATGGATTGAATTATGCAACAGAAAAAGCCTGTGTACACAGAAAGGTCTTCAGCAAGCCTTTGAAACAAACACTGATGGTTCTCATTAAACATTAATGTGCAAGGAGTTCCAAACCTGGGTGCAGACACTTGTCGCGTTTAACAAACTGACACCTTTCCCCTTTGATCATGCCACAGCCAGCTGAAATCCTAAAGCAACTGGTTTCCATTTTTCGGTGTTCACTATCTCTGAGCTCAGAGAGGGGCTTCTTCCATTTGCTGGCTGGCACAGAGTCTTTGCTTTGCTGGCTGTGGTGGCTGAGGCTATTGAGAGCTGTAGTCCAAAATATCAGGAAGGCACCACCAGGCCGGGGAAGGCTGGCATGCAGGACAAAGTTTGCTGCAATTATGTGAAAGCATTACTTTCCTAAATACAGGGGACCTTTTAGTTGCGTACCGCTCTTCGGGTTACAAACGCGGCAAACTCGGAAGTGTATACTTCCGAGTTTCACCATACGTGCATGCGCAGATGCGCTCAATCACGCTGCATGTGCACACAGAAGCGGCGCCTCTGCCTACGGACTTTTTGGGTTGCAGACAGACCCCCGGAACAAATTGAATTAATATCCGGAGAGTCCACTGTAAACAGTTAATAATACCGATCATAATAAGTTTATGCCACCAGTCCAAAGATGGCATAAACTATTAGGCCCCTTATTATTATTGGCTGCTTCCGCCAAACACATGGCCGACACTATGAGCTTCATCCATCTTGTTGAGGGGGGAAGCAGCTAACGACAGTTCCCTATCCCTCATCCCCAGATTATTGGTACTCTCAAATCTGGTGAGCAGCAAAAATCAAGGTGGGCCAGAAATATGCACCCGCAGGCGGACATGAGGCTCCCCCTACCTTTGATGCATATGGGACTACAATCAGAAGGGTGAGCAGTGATTCCTGCATGTAGATCACCTTTGCCCTTGTTGACTCTTCAGTTCTGTTGATTTTGGCAGAATGAGAGAGAAATTGTTGATATTTTCAGGAGCTAAGCATCTAGATAATTGGCCCTCCAGATGTTTCTGAACTGCATCAATCCTGACCACTGCTCATGCTGACTGGGGCTGATGGAGCTGCAGTTCAATGATTTATCAATGATCCCCACAATGATCTAGATTTGGTAGCAACAAGCTGACAAAAAAAACCCTTAATTTATTGTAGGAAAGGTTGGGCGATGCAAATACCATGCTGCCTTTTTAATAAAGTTTAATAATTGCATGGGGTGTAAGTAATTAAGCACTAGGATAACCACTATGATGAAAAATGGGGGAAGTGACTAGTCCATAGTAGGAAACCATTGATTATGTGGAATGGAATGCACAACTAGGTCAGAGCAGGCAGGGCTAAATTTGCATCAGTACACTTACCCAGTCAATGGATGTTGCAAAGCTTGTTTCTACTGCTGTAAAAGCCCACGCTTATTAAAAGTGGATTACAGGCAGAGGCATTGCCTAGGAATGAATATTAAAAAATTATTAGGATTACTGGAGTGCATGCAATTCTTACACTGCCTTGGATAGAATTCAAATCAGCATCCCTGGAAACCAGGCCTCTGCTAGCGTTTGACTTGCCATTCCCAGTATGTAGGGGGAATGGAAGTTGTGCTCAGCAAACCCAGCATAACAGACAGACTCATCTATTCCTTTCCCTTCCATTAGCATGGTTGGCTGTGATAATGGGCAAGAAAATATTAGCAGGAAAATTATCTGGTCTGTCCCAGAGCACATTACCTCTGGTCCTACTTGTTTACAACCTTGACTCACTGATTTTTCTAAAAGATACTTAGGAGCTTGTTGCTTCCTACAAACTTGACTAGGCAACACACAAACCCTGTGCCATCAGGAAACAAACCGAATTCTAATTATTCTTAACATATTAACAGGTCATTCTTCCCTGCCAGTTTTGTCCTAAAGAGACATGTTCAGAACTGCTGGGTTCTCCTTCCTGAACTATTTTCTCCTTCCTTGTTTGTTTATACTGAGAGGCCATAATTGTGCTTCTTTATTTCACAACAAAGTGTGGAACAACAGTTCCATTAAGCATCACAGCATGGCAGCTTTGGGATGGGTTGAATACTTTGAAGTGTACAATGGAGAGGAATAAATTCCCTTCTCTTATGTAATAAAACACATTCCAGACTCCTTTGATGTTGTGCAGTGGTTAGAGTGTTGGACTAGGACCTGGGAGACAAGGTCCAAACAATGAAACTCATTGGGCAATGTTGGACCAGCCTCTGGCTCTCAGCTACACCTACCTCACAGGATTGTTGTGAGGATAAAATAGGGAGTGGGGAGCTGCTAGGAGGAAAGGCGGGATATAAGTAAACAAAATAACACAGCATCTAGCTCCTGTTAAGTGGTGCAGAAAGCGTGGAAAGTTAAAGAGACAGGAGTTGTTTGAGTTGGGGTGGCTAACCAATGTTGTTAAACTGTAGTTTCCACAATCCCTGACCATTGGTTGTCTGGGATTACTCGAACCCCCCACCAGTTCTCCACTCCTGGGTCAGAGTCTTGGACTAAGGTGTGTGGAAACCCAGATTTAACTCCCCACTCAGCCATGAACTTCAGTCAATGATGTTGGACCATTAAGTCTCTCTCAGGCTAACCTGCCTTTCAGGGTTGCGGTGAGAACCTGGTCCACTGCCTTGAGCTCATTGGAAAAAAGACAGGATAGAAATGCAATGACTGAAATGAAGGGTGGGGTGGGAGATAGATATGTTCTAAGATAGTTGTTACTTTTTCTACTTCATCGCAAGGGAGCTTCTGCACACTGCTTTGCTCCTGCAGTGTCTTATTCAAGTGGAAGGAGCAGTCAGTTCTCTGGTGCCTGAAGACAGATTAAGATGCTGTCTGTTGTATTGCCCTGAGAGAGAATTCCAAAAGCAGGGACCACCACTGCAAAGATCCATTTCCATGTTGCTTCCCTCAGAACCTCCTGAGGAAGGGTACCCAAAGAAGGCCTCAGATGATAACCACAGAGTCCAGGTTGGTTCATGTGAGGAGATGTGGTCCTTGAGGAACTGGGGTCAAAACCAGGACTTTGAATTGAGCCAAGAAACAACATGCCAGGATAGGTGTTATAAGTTCAGACTGAGCTATCCCCATCAACAATCTAGCTATTGCTGTGAATACTTTGCAGAAGCTCACGTGGGTAAAAATAAAAATTGGCTGCGTCCCAACACAATCCTCACTAAGGAAGGAGTTCAGAGAAGACAGCATATGAAGCTGCTGACTTCTCTGAACCTCTTCCTTAGCACGGATTTTGCTGGGCTGTAGCCAAATTCTTTTTACCCACGTGAGCGGCTGCATAGTACTCACGGTTTGAGCGCAGGCAGGCAATGCTGCGTCTGGCTCAGACTTTATATTGGAGCATTTTTCTTGCTCTTTACGATGGCTCTACACTTCAACATAAAATGTCTGAGTCAGGGCCTCAAGGTTTATGGAAGCTTAACATATCAGCCTCTTTAGCCTCAAAGCACGGGGGAACTGAAACTCAACGCAGCAACCAGTGCCAAAGGGAACCATGCAGCTACAGAGCAGAATTACAGGAGCAAGTCTCGAGCTGCATTTATAAACCCTTTATTCTGAGACTTTGTAACCGCCTGCAACAGATTTCCTTCCTTCTGAGAACCAGCAAACTGGGGCCATTTTATACAAAAAGCTGATGACGTGCAGATCCAAAATAAGTGAAACATTTCTAAAGTATTTGTAACCTTCAGCCCTATGTTAAAACATTATCAAAGAGAATCAAGTGGAAGCACAGTGGGGTTGTCAGTTTGAAGGGCTCCTCAGGGCACAAATACTTTCATGTGAAAATAATACACTTATATTATGGGTCCACCAAGCTGAGAAGTGTCAGCACCAAAGATAACAGTACCATCCCATTTCCACTAGTGCTGTGAGATCACTCCATTATTTAATTATTTATTAGTCACTCTCCCCACCCCACCCCCAAAGCAATAATAGAATTGCAGAGTTGTAAGGGACCCTGAGGATCATCTAGTCTATGGGTAGGCAAACTGAGGCCCGGGGGCCGGATCCGGCCCAATCGC